AATAAAAAACACAACTGCAGCCTCTCCCAGAGAAAGGCATTTTGAGACTGTCTTGACCAGCAGCTACACTCCAGGTAAAAGGAATGTTGACACATCAGAGCTCAGTAGCTCATAATGGAATTCTCTAAATGCCACTGCACTTTGTGTAAAAGTGTAATAGTTACAGAAACACGTCAGCAGTATTAATATGCCAGCAACTCGTGATCTGTTAATGAAGATTACACTAAATTGCTAAATTCCAGTTCTCACAGTAGCTGCATTTCGAGTGCTCAGTAGCTCTGGTGTGGCTGGAAGCACACGTCAGGCAGCACAGAGCGAGGCCTTCCCACACCACAGGGAGCTTCAGTGGACAGCTTTCCTATAAGTTCAATGGAAGAAGAAACCACATGTACCCCAGGAAACTCTAGGTCCTTTCTTATTTCAAGTTGAAAGTTACAATTATTTTTTTGTGAAAGTTTATAAGTTGATTTTTCAATGAACCATTCACACCCATTATTTAAAGTACCCAGACTGACTGCACGTTCACACGCCCTCTTTGACTCTCATTCCAGTCCGTCTGCCTCCTACCCCTTTACTGCCCTGGAAACTTTATTGGACTGATAAGCTCTTTAGTCCTACATAGTCTAAGGAGTGAGGGCCTCTGGGGATACTGGTCAACTCCTAGGCCTGTCATTGGGCTGACAGTTGAGGCATGGGGTGAGTTTTGTTTCCAGTGTGAAGGCTAGGATGGACTCAAGTGTACACTTAGGAGCACTTTTCTGAGAGCAGAATAAATGACATAAGGCCCACTGTGACAAGTTCAGTGTGGTCAGTGCTGGCCAGAAGTGAGGGGATGTAGAAGGCAGAGCTGGTGATTGCTGTGTTGTGCATTGCGGCTGTGAGCTGACATACAGGCCACCCCATGCCCCAGTCTGCGTGACACATACACAGAGGTTCCTCCCCGTGAGCAAACGTAAAGGTCCCGGAGCACAGATCCTTAGCTGAGTCCAAGAGGTGTGTGAGAGGGTCTTTTTTCCCTGTTTCTGCATCTGATGAACTGTTCATCAAAGACAGCCCGCATCTTCCTTACTGTTACTGCAGGCTGATCCAGGTATCGTTTGGAGTCAGTGCCTCAAACCAGCCTGCAGGAGCTTCCAGCAAGCACAGCCTGCTTTCTTGTTGTCTTATCCTGCACAGAGCTCCAGGAGTTAGGGGGCGCATTTCAGATCCACCAGCTCCTCCGAGAGGGAAAGAGTGGTCATCTCCTCTGCAGCTTACAGACTCTAAAAACCCGCTGGAGGGTCAGTTATGAGTCAGTTCCACTCTACAGCAGTTACCGAGTTTTCTAATCCTTTACTATTTGAAGTTGACTCTCCTCTCATATTCTCCAAATTAGATCTTTCCTCCCATTGAAAAAAAACACCAAAATGTGCTTTAAACATTGTTTCTGTAAATGCATGCACCATACCCCAAGGGTTTCTATAAGACAGTTTAGTGGAAAGGAACTGTAATGAGAATGGTGTGTCACAATCATTTGTGTTTTTTTCCATCAGATTTAGAACTGGAAAGTTTTGATGTAAATGGATTACGATCAGGCAGAAAACCAGGACAAAAGGGATTTGGGTTCAATAAATTGACCATTAAAAGCCTATCTCAGGAGAATACGGCGGGTTAACCAGCAAGGCTCCATGCAAGGGTCAGAATAGTAAGGGCCACCGAGAACACAAGGGCCCTGTGGAAGCATCTTGGTGGCATCTGAACACCGAGAAGAACATGGGGCCCCTGGAAGCATCTTGGTGGAGTGTGTCCTTCCACAGGGCAGGGCCTTCACAGTGCTGCCTTCTCATGGTCTGTCTAGGTGAGGACGCTGTGCAGGTGCCTGGTGCCCAGAGGTTGAAGGAAGAGCTGCTGAGCGTGAAGGCACGCACGCGGATGAGCGGGTGGCTGGACGTGGCGTCAGCACACACTTTCTGCCAGTGGCAAAGCTGCATGCAGATGGGACTCTATCTCAACCAGCTGCTGTCCACACCGCTTGCAGAGCCAGACCTGACCCGGTAGGCACCCAAGAGAACACCCTGACCAAGCAGCTTTGTGTGTGCTCATCAGTCTGTGTAACTGACAGAGCTGAGGAACAGGAACACTAGAAGGCAGTGCTACGTTTCCAATCTCTGATCACGGTGGTGGTGATGGAATGCACCTTGGTTTCTTACTCCTTTTGGGTTTTTGTGCTGCTACCACCCGATAGAGCTGTTTCTGACTACCTTCTATTTGAACTGTTACTCTCTAGCCCAGTCATGCTGGCCCTATAACTTGTTTGTTTTGGGGACATGGGTATATTATATCAGGCTGCTAACCAAAAGTTCAGTGGTGTGAATCCACCAGCTGCTTTTAAAGAAAGGCAGTCTCATTCTGTTGAAATGTGGGACCCAAAGGAATCCACTCAATGGAGATTAGTAGGTCTGGACACGGCAGTCACTCATTCGAGTATCAAGAGCCTGCTACGTGCTAGGGATGGTGAAGCGAACAAGCCATCTGTTCAGAGCTTGGTACACAATGACTTAGATGGCCAAGTGGCTTCCTCCAGCCTCTGAATTTGGGTGTTGGCAAATATTGAGGACCTCATGGTCAGGATGACCAACAGGTCCTGGAGGGAGTACATCCTCAGCAGTGACTGATGAGATGTTATCCCACATTCTTTGGCCAACTGAATCAGGAGAGGCTGTCCCTGGAGGACATGATGCTGGATGGGGCGGTCAGTGAGAAAGAGGAAGACCCTTGAGGTGGAATGGTGCACAGCCTGTGGCAGTGGGCACGGGCACGGTGGTAGTGAGGACGGCATGAGACTAGGCCACCATGTTTACTGTCACTGAAAGTCAGCCGGGGGGGTGGAGGGGGAAGCTGAGCTGGTGTCCCCATATGGCCACCACCTGGCAGTCTGGCCATGATCTGGTCTAACTGGACTGTAAGCTGGGTGGGGTAGACGAATGACAGTAGGGTGTGGGCTGGTAAGAAAAGGGCAGTGTGTGGATTTCTCATTCTGTGACTACCTGCAAGTTACAAAGGAGATGTAGAAGGAACGTTCATCCTTCCACTAGAATTTATGTGCCATGCGGGAGGGAATGTCTTTTGACAGCCGCAGGCCCACAGTGCCTGGCATACAAGGCTTACAGACTCAGGTGTTTGCTGAATGAGTGAGTACTACAGAGACACACACATTACGCTGACGGTACTTTAAATTAGGTTCAAGTTGAAAAGCTTCCTCAGAACTCCCATTTGCGCTCACCCTTGAGCCTCCTGAACAGGATTTACTGGTCTACACCTTTGGTGCCCTTACCTTTGTGTTTTTAGAAACCAGTAACCACGCATCGTTTAACTTGCTGATGAACCAGTCGTTACTCTTTGTAATACCGAGTTCCTTCAATGTTTCGGCAGTAATTTTGCCACTGCAGTAGAGTTCCATGTTGCCAGGTTGGTGACGTGCTGAGCTGAGCTGTGACCACACTCTTCCCTCCCTCTGGCAGGCTGTACAGCGGAAGCTTGGTGCACGGACTGTGCCGGGAGCTCACAGCCTCATCCACCGACCGTCTCCTGAGCCTGTGTCCAGAGGCCAAGCAGCTTTACGGGCATCTCTTCTGCGCCCTGCAGTCATCCGCCCCTCCTGAGTTCTCCTCACCAAAAGGGAAATCACGTTCAAAAAAGAAGAAGAAGGGTACCAAGAATCGAGGGAGAGCCACCTCAAGCACTGGGTGTCAGTATGAGGGAGGCAACCGATTTAAGGTCTTAATGGTTGAGAACTTGGAGGAAATGACTGAGGCCTCACAGCTTAAATAGACTCATTCCACAAGACGCTGAATTGTGATTTTTTTTAACCTTCCTGTACCTACCTTGAAACCGTTAACACAGTGCTGTGCATAACTGTCAAACTTCAAGGTCTTTTATACTCATTTTTAATAAACTTCTGTATTTCTTAAACACATCTGCACTCCTCTTGTACCATTTCAGGTATAACATTTTGTAACCTTTTAACTGCAGTGACTCCGCGGGCTCTGTCTGCGCTCTGTCTGCGTTGTTACCAGAACAGATTGCTCTCCCTGTGTTAGAATGAGAGGGCTGGGCAATGAGAGGTAAACGTGAGTACGCGAGGCAGAAAATGCTCTTCTGAAACCAAGTACTTGTACATGACAGTTGAAACTGTAATTGAAAACAAACATCCTGAGCTGCTGGGTCTAGAGGAGGAAACAGGAGCCTGCAAAGTCTGTACACTGAACAACTCATTCAAGAGATTGGCAGAGGATTCATCAACAACCTGCATTATGGAAATGAAACAACCTTGCTTGCTGAAAGTAAGGACTTGAAACACTTGCAGATAGATCAAAGACTACTGCCTTCAATATGAATTACATCTGAACATCAAGAAACGTTTTTCAAATTAGTTTACTAAGCCCTTTCTAAGGAAACATTGTATTTTCTTTATAACCAGAAGATGGCAACAAATGACAGTGTCTCAATTTACTGTTTCTCATAGAGCAAGTTGGACCAGAAAAGGGCTTTGCATGTGAGTGGGTTAGTCATTTAAGATAGTGCATTACAAAGCACCGTTTCTTCAGAGGAGGACAGCACTCCAGATGACTTCTGTAACTCGAGCAGCTTTCTCACTCTCCAGCAGTGACTGCTCAGCAAGGTACAGTAGCCACGGTTACTAACAAGGATGCAGTTCCTGTTGAGCTGAAAGGCAGTCTGATAAACCGAGTGCCCACTGATCCTCTGCCGGGGCATGTGAAGCAAAACGCTAAGTCGGGCGTGCACAACAGCCCTGCTGGCCCTGAACAAAGGGCTCACACCGCATCTGGGAATGCCAGGAGTGGCCAGAAAGACCAAAACAATGCAAGCCAAAGATCCTACCAAGTTTTTCAACAGAATGGCTACAATTATTCGGACAAACTAAAAAGGCTTCATTCGACAGGGGGCACTTCACTTGGGCTTTGAATTTGATTCTCGATGAGGTCTGGGGAGAAGAGTGTCAACAGTGATGGAAAAAATGGCACTGAAGAAAGGGTCGGTCACACAGCTGAATACTGTAACTGCTGTCAATAATTTACACATCTGGAAGAATCTGAATTGGCCAAACTTGTGTGACAGGTGTATTTCTGACATAATCAATGAAGAGCAGTCAAAACCACCTCCGTCCACCAAACACTTCACGGTTTTCTGGCGTGGAGACTCTAATACCAGGTCTCATGTGTCTAATGCACCACTTTGCTGCTGGTACCTTGCCTCACTCAAGGCCAAGCAATAGTCTGTAGTCAGCTGGAGACAAATGAAATGCAGGGAAAGGCAGCTCCTACAGGTGTGGCTAGGTGCTGCCATGGACTGTCACTGCCGAGACCAGGACTGGATGGGGCCTGGCAGGCATTCTGGAACAAATCATAATCAAAAGGGAGGAGATGCAGAACAGAACTTCAAATTCTAATGGAGTTCAGACGATCTGGAGACGAGCCAAATGCTTTAAACTATTACACCAAAGTTGAGGCTTCTATGGGATCAGTGCACAAGAGCAACTTGAGAGATGAGAGGACAAGCTTAGAGGGCAGCAAGTGTGTGTGAATGAGGGCAGAACAAGTCAGAGGACGACGATGGAGGCGCTGCATGATTGTACAGGCTCAAACAACTGAAAGGCTGTATGTTTAGTGTGTCCAGAAAAAGAAAAATGAAAATCCTAGAGAAAAGGGCACTCTCCTGCTGTGCGATTTACAGCTGCAGAACGCACAGGAGGATCAGCTGTGAATCAGGTCCAGCTGTACGGGAATAAGTGAGTAAAGAGAAAAATGAAAAGGGGACAGAGACGTAACGTCGAAGGAGGAGTGCCTCAAATAACCTGTAGGAAGACTGAGTATGAGACTGCAGAAACTGAGGCCAGAATGGTCCAAGGAGGAACTCTGGGTAAACCAACAAAAACCCACATGGCCTTCTACTCACCTGTCTGAGCAGGGAGCTATTTTCTGATACTACGGCTGTCAATGCAGCTGAGCTCCAATGCACAGAAACGTGGATCTAAGCTATACGATTTAAATATAACGACCAGTCTACGGCCACACCACCCTGAACACACCCAGCCTCCCCTAAATAAAATGTCAACTGAACATGACATTTAATGCCTCCTCACTCAAGAGAGTCACCAAATACATAAACTTAAGGACACAACCCTGGTGCACACCTTTGCTGATTGATTCTAAGCCATGCAGTTTCCCCTTCTATTTGGACAACTGCTTCTTGGTCTATGTACAGTTTTGCATGGGCACAATTAGGTATACTGGGATTACCATTCTTCTCAGTACTAATTCGTAGTTTATAATCCACACAGCCAAACACCTTTGCAGAGTAAATAAAACACGAAGGAATTATCTTTTTGTTTTTCCTTGCTTTTAGCCAAGATCTGGCACGAGACTATTAAACTGCAGAAATCTTAGCTACTAAACTGTTTCGGTGACAAGGACTCCGAGAGGTATTCTCTCATGAATGAGAATACTCTTCTGCTAACTCTTGCTGGGGGCTGTCAGGTGATTATGTCAGCGGTGCCCTGTGTGGAACAGAGAAGCTGACTGCTCCAGCCCGCCTCTCGCTGCTGGGACCCACTGCTACACCGAGACTGCCCATGGTGAGCAAAAGCTCATCCTGACATTTAAGAATGTGAAATAATGTCATATAAAACTTACTAACTTAAAAGGGATTAAACCTGTCAGAATTAGGATCTCATTTCTACTAAAAAGGAGACTGGATTTGTAATTACTAGCCTAAATGTGCCCTATACTTGAGTCAAGTTACCAATGCACCATCAAGCCATTCCACAGACTGGTGCCTTGCAAAGCCTGGACCGCCTCAGCAGGCCTCAACCACAGGCAGGCAGATGGGAGCTACAGGGCTGGTGAGGAGCTACAGAGCTGGTAAAAAGCTACAAAGTGCTGGTGAAGAGCTACAGCGCAGGATAACCAAGGCTCATGGACAATCTCTAACTTACATTCTGGTTTAAAAACTAACTGCATTTGGAACTTTTTAAATGCAGCAGCTTACACTTCCTTAAAAAAGAAAAAATGCTTAAAAACAAAAAACAATAATAATAATTAAAATCAATTATTCAGCTGAGTTAAATGGATTTATGTTTAGGGGAGTAACAAAATGTTGGCTAAGTGTATTGTAGTTAACGCAAAAGGAGGTATGATCAGGTCATATAATTTATTATAAATTTCAGCTCAGTCTGAAATGACCTTGACTGTATGACTAAGTGTTAATCGGAGAACTCCCACCCTAAAAAGAATACCACCTGATGACTGTGATGATAACTAAACAGACTCAGATCGGAAAGAGAAAAACGATTACTAAGAAAAGCAAACATTTACTTCAAATTGCTGTATAGGATTTTCAGTCACAAAAAGAACAAAACAGTGATCTGACAGTGGTCACATCCTGTGCAAAAACGTGATACAAAAATGGTTGTACAAGGTCTCGCAGCTGCTTACAGTGCAGGAAACAGAAAACTGCAGCTGACACGTGGCCCTCCTGGACTGGACACCTAAACCAACAGAATGCCTCTGAAGTGATTAACATTTATTACTGTTTTATTAGTAAGAAATCCCCACCACCATAAATAGTACAATATTTAAAAATTAAAAAAAATTTACATCTATCAAGATAGATTGTGTGTATGGTAGACCTCATTAAGTGCAGACGGTGGTTCAGGCATTGCCTGTTTATAAATTAAATAACTGCCCATATGCTTTTGAGTCCACTCACTTGTAAAGGCCCATCTAAATTAAGAGCTGTGTTGTAATTTCACTTAGGTCGGCCCAAACCCAGCCTTGAACAGTGCTCCTTGTGAGTGAGTGAAATTTGAGAAGTTCTCCAGTCCTCATTCACCCTCGGGAACTTGCCCTTCCAAGTCATGCTCGGACTGCAGTTCTCAGTTTGCAAATAAAAGAATGCAATATGCATCATACTTCCAGAAAGGACGATGGGGCTGCACTCCCGTGCTTCTGCACCTTGTCTCGGCTCCTCTCCACCTTCTTTATGATCTCTGCCACCACGCACACGGATGAGGTGAGGCCCACAAGGAACAGGAGATCTGCAGAGGAAAGAGACGGAGCTTTACAGCCCCTCCAAACTAGCGAAGGATGCCCAGCCCAAAGTCATTTATTCAGTTTAAAAGTCTGCAAAGGGAAACTCATTGAAGACCACATGCCCTGACAATAACCACAGATTCTCAATTCTCATTTTCTGCTTGAAAAATGCAACTGTCTCCTTAAAACTCCATTTTAATAAGGAATGGATGTGAATGTAGAATGAAATTAAATTTTAGGGTAAACTTTTCACATACAGCAAAGCTTTTTGCTGTGTTTTAAAAGCTCTATCATTCAATTCCACAAATGGACTAAATCAAAATCACAACACGTCAAGGTAACATTTCCAAAGACAGATTCGGTGCTCCTCACACCTACTGAGAAGGAGTCATTTGTTAATATACCATACTGTAATATTTTTAATTTCAATGTGCAAGGTAGCAAGTAAAAACAGTAAAATATTATGTTAATAAAATAATGCATTATCAGTGCACACGAATCTATTAGTTTCCCCCCATTCAAGATCGAAAAGAACCTATGAAAAGGTCTGGGTTACAATCACCCTATGGCAGATTTAATATGCCACACTTTAGGATCACCAATATGCTGTTAACAAATGATAATCTGTAACATTTATCTTAAAAGCTAAAACTTGCAGAATGACCCCTGGCCAGCACGACGTAGCACTCCACCACTAGCTAACAGAGGAGAGGCAGGGGAAGCCAGGCTGTGGGTCAGCACGGGTCAGACAACAGACCATGGGGAGTGCCTACCAGATGCTCCCAGACAGACCGCACATTCTTCTCTCACGCCCAGTCAATGTCATAATTCACTGCTTACCATTTCACAAAGTGAAGCGAGCACATCAGAAAATCCTCCCCTAGTTCACGTAGAGAAGACAGAAACTACAGAGAATAAGTGGTCTTACTTACCTAGTATGCTAAGGCTCTCAGTCTGAAACACTTTCTGAAGTGGGGGAAAGTAAATGACCAGTAACTGTCCCATGATGGAGCCGAGAACCGCGTAGCAGAACATCTTATTACTGCAGAGTCCGATGGCAAACACCGACTTGGTCTGTCGGCAGGGAAGGAGCGGATTACTCCAGGACATAAAGGCCATTGACTACACTCACTGCCACAACTCTCAACCAGCGTGAAATTGGATCACTACCTGTTCCCCTAAAAAAGATACTTCTGTAATCACCAAATTCTATGTCCACACCATAATAATATTAACTATTATTTCTGAATTACTCAGATGGAATAAGGGTAAACTTTAAACAAGCTTCTACTTGTCAGAAATAGGACTACTTAAAATAATAATACTACGTAATGTAGCAGTGAGGAGAGGAAGAAGGAAAAGCAATCTGGACACTCTAAAACGTAAAGCTTTATCTATTCATGATTATTGTGCAAAATCACCTTGTGCAAAATCACCTTGCACTGTTCATGGAATGAGGGTAACAGAACCACCTTTGTAAGAACAGACCAAGATGGTACACCCTGAGACGTAACCTGCCTTTTAAAACAGAAAACAGTCCCTAATGCTTCTTTTTAAATTAACCAAAACCACAGATGATGCGATGCAATGCACTTTGGAAGTTCTATCACGGTAAATGGTAAAGATTTATAAAGGGCTGTAATGTCTGATGAGGCCCCCAAGGAAACTCTGTTCTTCAGGCTGCCAGGCCCTGATTAAGCCCCGGCTCCTAGCTCATTCTTCCCCATCACAGCACTTCATTTAAGAGGAAGCGGTCAGGCCTCAAGGAAGGCAGGCAACATTAAACGCCTGAAGCCCTGACACCCAACAAAGTAATGGAAAAAAGATCGATAGCACACAATTATTTCTACAAAACCACCTTCTAAAAGGAGAGTGAGTAGTAGTAGTATCTTCATGCCAGAGTATCATGAGATACTGTGGACTCAGATAACAGCAAAGGAAGGGGGAGTGATGAGGTGACAGCAGCTAAGACTGACTCCGAATCTCGGTCAAAGGAAATGTTTTTCTTCCCCATGATGACCAATAGCACATGTTTGAGGGAAGACTCCCCGGGGCTGGAAGCTCAGACAACAATACTGAACAAGACACACATACCTGGGACCTGGAGCTTAATGCATTGAACATGTCAAAAAACACAAAGCATGTGAACGTCATCGTTGTATCTCGAGGTGTGATCACATTGTCTCGTAGCTGTCAAGGGAGGAAAAAATAATTTTCAGAGGTTGAACTTAATCAACAAATACTGTATGCTTTCAAAAAGTTACTAGTTCCTTCCCATTGAGATGCCATAACTTTGAGACAGGAAAACAAAGAAGCTACCAAAAAAAGCTGTCTACATAGGTCACCACTGAATAGTCATCTACACATGGAAAGGGAAAATGTCAGGAACTGTTATCAGACATCAAACAACTCTGCTGATTAATAACAAAAGTGCAACAATGAAGACTCCCATTTCTAAATGTCTTCTCCTAAAGCTTTATTTTCCACTGTGACACTTCTCTGTATAAAGAAATTACTAACTGGGAACATACACACCAAAATGAAACTATTTCAAAATACACTGACTGTTCTAGTTCTCTTCCGAGCTGATTTAACTTTCAGTGTACCAGCCTGGATGAGTCTGAGGATCCTAGCTATCCTCGAGAAGGTCAGCTGATAAAGGAGTGCCTCCAGGGACTGTACCTCTCGCCAGAAGACAAACAGAGTCCCACAAACAATGATGATTGATGAAACAAGGATTTTAAGGATCAAGTTTTTGGTCAAAATGCTGTCCTTCCAGTTGCGCGGTGGTTTACGAATGACATCTTTATCCACTGGCTCAACTCCAAGGCTGGAAGGCAAGCAAGACAGGGAGTGATTACCACAGCAGCCTCTCCAGCCCCAACCATCCACTAAACTCAACACTGCGGAATCATCAATTCCTGGCCATTATTACTTGAAAATATTTACTGATTTTATCAGTTTCTCATCTTTTTCATTCTATTTGGCACTTTACTAGGGAACTGCTAATCAAATGAAAACAACAAGCTCAACTTCATTTACATTTGTTTTTTAAAAATCTATCCTGAAACATGTGATGTCACCAACTGTGCGTAGAAGTCTCTTCTCTTCTCTTCAAGTGAAGATGCCGTGACTGGGAGGATCAGGTACAACGGGCAAGGGCATGTACCAGTCAACGTCCTGTGTGTGAGGTCAGGCAGTGACATATATGGCCCCATTATTATAAAGGAGAAAAGGGACTTCAATACTTGTCAACACTGATAACAGAATCTGTACAGTGGAGATTTTCTCCATTCCATTCCATTTTTAGAAATAAAAACTTGATTTCTGAGGGCAGTGACTGTGCCTATTCCCTGATCTCTTCTCTGCCAAGTTTGTAAATGCTCAAACCCACAGTGACTGGGTAAGCGCCCCACCGAGTAAACAATGTTCACAGACCACACGGTAACAAAACGTACTGCTACACAATTTCCCGATGTCACCATGAATGAATCTTTAAAAATTATCAGGACAATGCACATTCTTTGTGTTCAGAGTTCACACATAAGAATGCTACCTCTGAGCTGGAGGGCCATCCATGATAATATTGATCCACAAAATCTGCATGGCATTCAAAGGATTAGGGAAGTTCATTAATGTAGCCAATGAGATTAAAGTTAATGCTGCTATACTCCTGTAGAAAGAAAAGTCATTAAAAAACTGTCAGCAATGTCAATTCTTTCCAAGGATATGATACCACATTTTAAGCACTTAAAGATCTCATTAAGATTAAACTTTTGAAGGAAGTCAATAGTTTGGGTAACTTACGTTTCATTCATATGAACATTTCAAAGCTAAGAGTTAAAAACCCATCATTTACAAAGCTTTTTAAGAAGATATTTAGATAAAAGTATACAGAGAAGTGTTTTTAAACTTGAGTTGAGAATGGGTGTTGCTATTACACAACAGTTAAAGGTTTAAGAAATCTTCTGATGAACTTTTTTGACCACAGAATAGAACTTCTACTTCTGGAAAGAGGATCAAGAGGAGAAAGTTAAATTTAGCTACTTTTCCTTAGTTATTTAAGGAGTTAGTAAGTGATCACATAGGTTTTCAGGATAATAAAGACATCAAATTTCATTTACAACCTACTTGTCCTGCAATGTTAAACTTCATAAAACAATTTTTATTTTTAAAAACTTACATACGCAAACCATCAGTGCCAGTCCAAAAGTTTCTAAGCATTATGCCTGAATTAAACTTTAAATGCAACTTCTGTAGAAGATTCATCATGACAAACATCTTGCAAACTTACGTGCTTAGTTGGAATCTAACAAAGTTTTTAATGTTGTTATAAATCCCTTTACCCTCTTCAATTGCTGACCTGAAATTTGAAAAGGACAAAGAAGAGCTTTTACATAAAGCTATGCTTAAACACTATGGAACTAATTTTAAAAGTAAATTAAGAAATGATACACATCACTAAAGAAACTTATTTTGGCTACAAACTAGAGAAAGGAAAAAAAAATACTAACATTTATTTTAGCCAGGAACTGAAAACCAAACCTGCTAAGCATTATTTGAATGAATTGTTATATAATGTTGAGATTTTTATTTGTAAAGATATTTCAACATTAAAGTCAGATTATCTTTTGCATTGCGGTAGATGAGTTACAATATTAAAATGTTAAGTCTTCGATTCCTCTAATTCATATTTCATAAAGACATAAATAAGATGCATGATAAATAAAATTATATGTCAAGAATTACATGCCAAATGAAATATGTAAAAATATAGGACAATTAGAAAATTTAAGTTGGTTGTCCCTCCAGTACACAATGATACAAGCACAGAAAACATGTATTACAGAGATGCCCGGAAATTCTCACATTCACTTGGCTGAGTCTAGGAAACTCTGTCTATTGCAAAACATGTGCATCCTTCCAAGAGCTAGAAGCAATTCTAAATCACAAAGAAAAGAAAGGGCCGAGTCCATCCTGAGCCAGCTTCCATTCCGAGATCCCACCTGCTGCTAGCTGTGGCAGGTAACTAAGGGGTAACTAACACGGAACAGGAAGCCTCAGGTTACCCAGCAGGTGAGTGCACAAAAGAAATGACATTCCAGTGACTGTGAAAATGAATACCACCACCACCACCACCACCTGATACACAGGAGGGGCATTTCAATCAGACAGCAGTTCTGAGAAGTTGGCTAAATTGTTACCATGTGAACCTGACTAGTTTTTAATTCTTAGAAAACCATGTACCTGCATAGTTCTGAGAGCTTTAACTAGAATAAAGGTTTAACTGCCATCTTGTGAGACATGTGATCAGTAACAGGCACACAGTCACTGTTTAAGTGAATGGCTCATCATGTAGAAAGCTCTCACAACTCCACAGGAAACATCTCCTCCAGCACTACATATAAGTGCTTAAACTCAGAGCAGTTAAGCTAGGGAAACGCTTTTGTTTACTCAGCACCCCTCACTCATTCACAGTCAGCTGCCTGGGGCTGGGATGCAGGAAGGAAGCAGCGTACATTATGGTTTGGAAGTCGTCGTCCACCAGGATCATGTCAGCAGCCTCTTTGCAGACGTCTGTGCCGCTCTGGCCCATCGCGACTCCAATGTCTGCAGCCTTCAGAGCGACTGCGTCATTTACTCCATCTCCTGTCATGGCCACGACTGACCCGTTCTTCTGCAAAGACTGAAGGGCAGGAAACAAGAGTTCTGGTAAAATGCTGGTGCCAATCATTTTCTTCACATACCTAAGAGCAGAAATAACACAGACTCCTTCCTATCCATGGAGGACTCAGGAAGATAAGGGAGTGAGCTCTCGGAGTGTAGGCGACAGCAAGCCGTGCTGAGAACTCACAGCGGTGCAAGTCCACCTGTGGCTCCGGGGAAGGAAGCCGGCAGTCAGTTCCCTCGGTGAGGCCCAGCCTCAGAAACTCGATGGAGGAGCACCATCAGTCAGAACCAACTCCAGGGCAGGAAGTCAGCGTGAATAAGCTAAAAGCTTCGAAAACGTAGCTTTTATTATCCCAAGTGGCGAGAACAAGGAGCTCTGGTGGCCTAGTGTTAAGAAGCTGCACTGGGATGCCAAGGGCATGTGGTTCAAATCCATGAACTGTCTGCGGGAGAAGGATGGGCAATCTCCTCCCATATGATTATCTGCCTCTGAAAACCCACTGGAGGGCCAGCTAGGGGTCAGTCCCAACTCAGTGGCACGGAATGACAACAAACAGCTGTGAGAGCTGTATCGCTACGGTCCTATCTTGTACTGGTGGTTCTCAAACAGGCTAATTGTGCCTCTGGTGGCATCTGGACACATTTTAGACTGTCCCAGCTAGGGGAATGCTGCTGGCTGAGTGTTAGGGAGAGGCCAGGAATGCGACAGCCAACAGTGAAGATAATCCAGTGCCAGGTGGGAGCCTCCTGAATTAAATATTGGGAGGCTTCTGATTACCAGGTCCATGAACTAACCAATACCGATGCTGTTGATGACTTTGTGTATCTGGCTACTATAAATGCCACGCTTTAGGCATTACCCTCTTCCTCACAGCACATTTTCTAGAGAAGGTCTCCCCCCTTTATTGAGAATTTTTCTCATTATGCCACTAAGAAAAAAATCTATACAGTCCATTTCAAGCTCCTCATAAAAATCAGAGCTTAAAAGACTATAAACCAAAACCTGTCTTGAATCCTAAAAAAACAAAAACAAAAACAAAAGCATGCAAAAAAATCTGTATTTCCACCTAGCGTTAGATCAAAGTGCCTGCCAGAATGTTGGTAAGTCTGTTTCCCTGAAGAACTGCTTAGTCAATGTTATGTGATGCCTTATGTTAAGTTTTTCCATCAAAGACATTTTTCATTTCAGAGCAAAAACAGTGGAAATTTCTGTGAGAATAAGTTGACTAGGGTAATACATCTTCAGTGTTCCAGTCATTAAAATCAGGCTTTCATTTATTTCTGATCAAGATGACTTATCAAGATTTAGAATTCAATTGGATAAAATCTTACTGAAAAATGGTTTTAAATTTGGAAAGAAAGTTAGGGAATGAGAACAGATTGCTGGGGTAGTGGGGTAATGAGGAGCGTGACAACAGGAAACCCGCAACAACTTGGGGGATGATCCTTCTCTTCCCCTTCCACCTGTTCCCTGGAATCTCATTTCTCCCAGGCCTAAAAGATTGTATTTATTTGTGTACAAACCTTTCTTCACTTCTTAAACTAGTGTTCTTATACCATGGGGTATCTTTGTGACTGACTTATGTCATTCTGCGTCATTTCTTCTAGATACACCCATGCTGGGCAGTGTTTCACAAATTCCTGATAATTTTTTAGTGATATATAATACTCTAGTGTACCAGTTTCTTTAGCTTGATGATGGGCTTATAGGATACTTTCAGCTTTGTGCTATTGTAAATATTGCTGCAAGACAAGAAGAGGTATTTTATGTGGTGGCGGTGGTGGTGGTATATGCCATCGAGATGCCTGTGACTCACAGCGACCCTATGTGTAACAGCCCTAAACCCTGCTCTATCCGTGCCAATCGTACCGTCCATCTCAGTTGCCCTATCTGCTAGTCTAAGTGTGTTTTATTGTATATATGGTTTTTGAAGTCCTGCTATTTTGGAAATGAATGGTCAATCCTTCTTCCTAGTCTGTCTTAATCTGAATGCTCAGCTTTAGAACAGTATCTGACAGACGCGTTTTACGGAAAAGAGCAGGTAAAAGGTATTTCCCCAATTGTAAAACTATGGAACACTTACCTTAATAATTTTCATCTTGTGTCTTGGACTGGCTCTGTAAAACACGGCAACCTGTAAAAATATAAGGCCCATTAAAAGACTTTACCATTTCACTTTAAAGAGTGAAAAAAAAACCCCACCTCTCCTCTAATCAAAACCTCTGGTGAACTCCCATCTCTCAGAGGGAAGTGCTGCACGAAGTGTACCCCACTCTTTTTCATCTGTCTTTTCCACCTGAGACACACTGGCTGTTTTATGGTGTTAGACTCAAGGCCTGGCACACTCAAAGCCTGTCCCCACGCTGCAGCCTCTTCCTAAAGTGCTCTCTCCTCAGAGAGACCCACTGCTTGTTTGTGCGATCTATAACCCTGAACTCCTTTCCAAATCCCTTGTGTCTTGTAATGGTCTATGGCAGGTGCATGTAGCAGTTTGCCTGGAATATAAGTTCCATCAAGGCAGAGACTTGAGCCCTATACGCCTAGTCTTCTATAAATGCATTTCAAAGAGTAAGTGAGCAATTAACTGAATGTCCGTATCAGCATCTAGACTGTTCCTACGTTCTCTCCCATCTTAATCAAGAGAATCCAAGAGAAACTTCTTCTTAGACCACAGATTCAGCTGGGTGGTGACACCACAATGCGGGTTACGAGTCTCAGGTTCTCCAGAGGGAGGTCGTGAATCACTAAAGGCCCATCTCACAACCTCACTTGGTTTACAATTAAATCCAAAAATCCTTTAGAGTATCTTGCAAAAGGATCACTTTCTGTATGTGAGAAGCAGACTGGTTACCTTCTAAATAGTAATTCTAGACTGCTGAAGACAGCAATGAAGCACAGGAGCACGTAGCAAAGACTGCAGATCTTAGAGGCAACTTAAATAAGAGGTTAATTACAACACTTGATCAGTACAGACAAAGCAGAATTAGGCCTCTGTTCTACATGATTAATTTTCAACCACTGCAAATCATTTCTAGCTGCTACAGGTTATTGCTGATAAGACAGCAGGAATGGACAACTACCACCAATTGCTGGAGTAAAAGGGTGTTATTTCTTTCGTGGAGTAGCAAATTACCTGGCATGCATCCAGCACACCTATTACTCAATATAAGATTTTAGCATTTCAAAGAGCAGCTGCTTTTGAGACTAACTCGATCTCCATGCAAATACGAAGTCACACTTGGTTCTTTGCAAGTACTATATCACACTGCACAAGATCAAATGTCTTCTTAAAGCTATCAAACCGAAGAACCATGATAAGCAGGTCAATCCTTCTAAGTCAAAATTCAGAGATTAAAAAGGCACAGAAGTTACGGCATGAAATAGATGCTGACTAAAAGTCAAAGCAGAGTGGGGACTCAATTTAGAGGTGACAGAATTACTACTATTATGAAAGTTTGTGGCCCTTATATCTGTTTCCCTGCTAGGAAAAGTGGGAACACTCTGGTGGCCAAGTGATAGGGAGCTGTGCTGCCAACTCCAAGGAAGGAGGTTTGAATCCACCAGCTGCTCATCAGGAGAAAGACGGGCAGTCTCCTCCCGTGTGAGTTACTGCCTCTGCAAACCCACGGCGGGGGGTCAGCTAGGACTACTGTGACGTGAGAGTACTGAACAACTGACTGAAGAGAAATAAACAATCCAATCACTTAACCTGGGAAAGAGAAGGGAGAGGACAGGAAGGATGGCATGAAAAGAGGAGAAAATTCAGAAGAGGAGAGAGATTAAGGATTAATGTGGGTAAAAGGAGATTAAAAATCACCCAAGAGAAAAGTACTATGTATTTTCAAAAGAAATTTGCCAAGGTGTTCTCCCTGTGGGCCATCTTTGCCATGTCCTTTGTGGGACGCACTCCCAGTTCTGACTGCCGTCAAGATACAAAGAATACAAGGAGGATTCTTCTTAGGTGCCATGGAGTCAGACTCCCAGCAACCCTAGGAATGACAGATGTGAGCCTTGTCTTGCCTTGCTCCATTCTCATCACCTCTGACATCCTCAAGCGCACTGTTACAGTCACTGTGTCGATCCATCGTGATAGGGATTTCTTGCGTCTATCTCTCCATATTTCTAGGGATTGGTGCAGGTGTTTACTAAGGAGCTTGAACCAACTTATAATTGATTCTCCAGCAGGTTTTCAGAGGCAGCAGGCATTCATTAAAAGGAAGCAGAACAATATTAAGAGTGGTGAATGAAAACCTGGGCTCATGGCGTTTGAATCCCAAACCCGGGTGTGCACCCCAAAGAAGGGAGAGCAGGAAAAAACGGAAACATGGGCAGCATTCACAGCAGCCATAGGCATATAGAACAGTGGACCCATCTACATGGTCAACTGATATTCCACAAGGAAATAAATCCTATCAAATGGAGAAATGACAACCTCTTCAACAAATGGTGCTGGTAAAACTGGACTGCTACCTGCAGAAAGCTGAAAGAGGATCCACATCTCACAACATACAAAAAAATCAACTTAAGGTGGATCACAGGCTTGGGGGTAAAACAACATGGGAAGAGATTGCACATATTTCTTCTGAGGAGGTCTGGTGGATTCGAACTGCCTGCCTTGTCATAAATATATGCTGTTAGGTGCTGTTGAGTCAACTGTGACTCACAACAACATTATAAACAATGGAACTGGACCCTGCCCCATCTAACTGAGGGGCTTCCCCTCCACTTCTCTGAGAACAGTGTCCTTTTCCAAGGACTGGCCCCTTCTAACAACATCCCAAAGTCTATGAGACCATGTTTGACCATCGCTCCCTCTAAGGAGCACCCTGGCTGCACGCTCTCCAAGTGCGTGTTTTCTAAGAAAAGCAAAGAATGAGGATGTAGTACTCTTCTCCAGCACCACAACTCAAAGGCATCAGTTATTCTTCTGTCATCTTTACTTACTATCCAATTCTTAGATGCATAAAAAAGAACTGAAAAGACTATGGCTTGGATCAGGTGCACCTCGGTCTTGGACAAGCACCCAGTCCTTGCTCTTTAGCACTTTGGTGAGGTCCCAGGCTGCAGATCTTCTCAACACAACACATCTTTTGATTTCCTGACCACTAATACCAAGGTTGACTGTAGATCCAAGGAAGATGAAATCATTGACAATTTTTCTCTTTCTCCATCTATCAATATGTTGCCTATTGGCCCAGTGGTGAAGATTTTTTTTTCTTGATGCTGAAATACAATCCATGCTAGAAGTTTTAGTCTTTATCTCTTGCAGCAAGCATTTCAAGTACTCACTTTCAGCAAGTAAGGTTGTGTCAACTGCATAATACAGGCAGCTGATGAATCTTCTTCTGATCCTAATGCCAAATTTTTCCTCATAAAGTTCAGTTTCTGTAATGATTTGCTCAGCACAGAGACGGAACAGGTATGATTCCCACTACTGAATAAAACAGGTAACTCATTTTTTATAAAATGGGTGACAAATCTCAACAGCCAATTCACCAAAGATGACATGTTGATGGCAAACACATGGCAACATGCTCAACAGGACTGATCATCAGGGAAATGAAAATTTAAGCCACAATCTGGGAGCACCCCCAACTGCTGACAATGATGGCAAGAAATAAAAACTTTAAAACACTGGCAGTTTTTACACACAAATAGGCCCTATGATTCAGTGATTTACTCTTACTTATTCACCCGACATGAAAACTTATGTTTACACAAAAACAAAACAACCCACAAATGTTTACAGGAGCTTTTGTTCAATCACAGAAAGTAAGAGGAAAAAAATTCACATCCTCAAGCAGTGGAATATAACTCAACAAAACAAAAAAGAACAAATTATTAACATATGTACCAGTGTACATAAACTGCAGACATATTCCACTAAGTCAAAGAAGTGGATTCAAACACCTCACACTTCCGTGACTCTCTTTAGAGCCCTCTAAAAAAGGCAGAACTGCACACTCTATGTGACTAGTGGTTTCCAGAGGCTGGAAGGGAGTGCCGACCATGAAGAATGAAAGAACTCTGCAGGGGTGTCAGCTGTGACGGTGAGTGCTGTCCTCGTCTATTCTCCATCTGCTCTAGAAGCATTTCCCACAACAATACATTAGAAAGGCTTACACTTTATAAACCTTCTACGTGATAAACACAGCTATTACCATACTATCATCAGCACAGTATATTCTTCAGAGGAAAGTGGGCTGGTCTGGAAAGTTATTATTCATGATGATCACTTCATATTATAAATATGCTAAGTGATAAGAAAGGACCCATTTATGATTTGGACTAACGAATGTGGTGGTCATGAATCACTCATAAACACTATGTTTCACTCCCTTATCCATCAGTGGGAATGAGAACACAGTGACTCAGGCAGTGGAGTGGAAAGGCTCTGGGAGGCCCACCTGTGGTACTATCTGTGAGAGCTGCTGTACATCCATTGCATCAATTTCTTCTCCCGAGACTGACTGAGAAGTTTTGGAATAAAATCCCAGACGGCTGGCTAAGTGAAAAGCAAGAGAAAATGTAATCAACCACAGTGTTTGTGCTTAATGAGCTTTGCACTCAATGTGCTTTAAGTTATCTACTCTTCCCTTTTAAATATAAAATTTCCTTATGTCAAGGGAACACAATTCAAAGCCTTAGTAAATCTTAGCAGACATGGTAAAATCGTTTAGGATTGTCTATCTTGGTTTTTTGTTGTTTTTTTTTTTAAAGCCAGCATACCTATGCCTTGAAGGTAGGCCAATCAGTTCAACAGTTCCATTTTCAAGATTAAAGTACATTTTAAGAAAATCATTCAAAATCAGACAAAATGCCAAAAGATACAGGTCACTCAAGTAATTTTACATAAATGAGAATAACTGCTAAGCAGTTTTCGACATATAAACCACCCAACATTAGGATGTTTCTAGCAATCTGGTCTCTCAAATAACATCAACTTTCAAACTCTTGCTCTAGTCCCTGTACAAGTTCATGACATCAGCCGATTCCATTTATTGGCATGAATTCTGGCTGATACATTCATACTCATGTTTTACATTTTCCTTCTTAAAGTCCTATAACAGAGCACTGAGTACAGGCAGAGACACGAGGGAGCACTGTAGGCACAGGCCACAGCCTTTCAAAACTAGTCCCAGTGCTCTCGGAAACAGCACTTTCTAATGAGGCTCAAAGGAAAAGAACCACTTTCACATTTCCTTAGATACTGTTATTACCGTCGCTGTTGTTGGGTGGCACTGACGAACAGCAACCCTGCATACAACACAGTAAACCCCTGCCATCTTCACAACTTCTGCTCTGCTTTCGCCCGTTTGCAATCACTGTGCCAATCCATCGCAGGGAGGCTCCTCCTCAGATCCTCCACTTTGACAAGGGTCATGTCATATACAGGGACTGACAACACGCCCAGAAGAATACAAGGTGAAGTCTGACCACCCTCACTCTGAACAGCACCTCACGGCACTTCTTTTAAGACAGGTTTGCCGGCCCTCTTGGCAGGCCACTAGATACTCAACATCAACTGCCGACATCACATTCAAAGGCATCGATGCCTCTTCGGTCTTGCTTATTCACTGTCCAACTTGGACATGCATTTGAAGCAAGAGAAAAGACTATGATTCTGTTCAGGCACATTTCAGTCTTCAAACTGGTAGCCTTGCTCTTTAGCACTTTGGAGAGATCCTAGATAGCAGTTCTGATAAATGCAGTACATCTTTTGATTTCTTTTTAAATTATTTTTTATTTAGGTGAAGTTTTATAACTCATATAATCATTTAATGACATTTTTATAGCACTCTTTACCATTAATTAATGCAATTAACAAATTATAATGTCCAGTCAATATATGTATAATGTATATTTGGCTTCTCTTCTCTTTTTTCTTTTTGGTGTACTGTTGAACTGGATCTGACTGGCACAGGGGGAGAATGCCCGTCCTTCTCCAGTGGGGCATCTGGTGGATTGGTGCACCTTTGGGACTGCAGTGCAGCTTCTTGCTACTAGGCCACCAGAGCTCCCTATCTTTCAATGTCTAGATTACTGTTTCAGTAAGTGTCAACTGTAGATTGACATAAAACCCACGACAACTTCAATCTTTTCTCTATCAATCATCATGTTTCCTATTGGTGCAGAGCTGAGGACCTCTGTCTTCCTGATGCTGAAATGTAATCCATATTAAAGGCTGTCCTGGATCTTCTACAGCAAGTGCTTCAAGTCCTCTTCACATTCTCAGTAAAAGGTTGTGTCATCTGTCCAGTGCAGGTTGTCGGTGACTCTATCTCCAATCCTGATACAGCATTTTTCTTCAGCTAGCTCAGATTTTCAAATTATTTGCTCAGGATAGGTACGGAAAAAAGACAGAACCCTTGAACATACAGCTTTCATCATTTCAAATGATGCAGTGTTCTCTTGTTCTATCTGAACAACTGCTTCTTGGCCTGTGTACAGGTCTGAATGAGCACAATTAAATAATCTTCTCATGTAGTCAAATGCCTTTCTATAGCTAATAAAACAAAAAGAAAGACATTTCTGATACTCTCTGCTTCCAGCCAAGATCTACTTGCTGTCACTTCCTGAAGGCTCCTTCCAAATCCAGTTCGAATTTCTGGCTACTGTCAATGTATTTCTCCAGATGCCTTTGAGTAATATTCAGCAAGATTTTACTTGCATATGGTATTAATATTTTTCAATAATTTCTGCATTCTGTTAATTCATTTCTTTTCAAAATAAGTAGAACTAGGGATCTCTTCCAATGTGCAAAGTGGAATATGAAATAAAAAACCAACTACTTTTTTGTGAATAACATAGATACTTGCTTTCATAATGATTCAATTAAGTTCTCAGACTAGTATCGTTTTTAAATGAACATCAAGTTTTGCACATAATCTTTTCAAACACATGTTTGTAATGCCTAACGAGTCACAAAAGTACCCATGCAAAGCAGTACTTGAAGGAAAGCATGACAAACAAAAAGAAGCGGTGAGGTATACCTATAGCAACGGCAGTCTCCTGCGAGTCCCCCGTGATCATTTTGATGGACACCCCAGAGGCAATGAGTGTTGCCACAGCGTCTTTCACACCAGTTCTTGGAGGATCGATGATGCCCACCAGGCCAAGAAATGTCAGTTGCCCCAGATCAGGACCAGAAGCCAAAGCAAGAACTTCGGAAACAGTCATGAAACAAAAGAAAACAGTTTTGAGTCTCAAAGACATTATGATTTCGTTCACAGTACACTTCTGAAAACACTTAGGTATCATTCACAGTCACTAGATTTAAAAATAAAAATGGTAATATACAAAGACATTTTTACTTTAGAGGTTCTGTATATGGGTTAGCCTAAACATAAAAATTAAAGGGACTAGGACCAAATAAAAACCAATTTAAAGCAGTAAAGAGAAGTAAGGCATTGAGGAAGAAGTCTCTGCACAGCAAGTGCTTTAGACAGAACTCCGTCTTCTTAGGAAACTGCTCTTGGTGATCTGGATAAACTACTGTTTTGTCACGCCTGGAACTCAATTTAAAAAAAGATCACTGAAAGTGACTTCTACTCATTTATCTTCCTCTTTCCACCTTACAGGTCTCCAGAAGTACCCAAGAGCTTGAAGAGAAGGCTGTATTTACATTGTAAGCCTGGATAACTGTATAGACAATGAACTCTTAAGAGGTCACGTTAATCTGTAAAGGGGTGTAATAGCAGCGATTAGACTCTTTCACTCTTTCTATAACATTCTGTAACTTCGGTTCTCTAACTCTATATAAATGCCACCTATACTGCACTATTATTTCTAGTTGCTGTCATTCTTGGGCCTTTCAGATACACCTAAAATACTGCTGATTTCCCAAATATCATTCAGCAAAATTCTTAGAATTCCTGAACCTCTGATAACTACTGTTTTGGACTAAAGGAGATACGCTTCTACTTGGGACATTAATGGGTAATCAACTTGCCAGAGAGACTATGCGACTATTCACACATTAAATAAAGCTACCTTGCAGAGAAATGGAAAAGTCTCAAAGAAACTAAAGGAAGGATGTATTCTCCCTCAGGCAGAAGGTGTAAGAGATTAGATATATTTGGAAAGTCCAGGTGACAGGCCAGTTGCCTTGGACGTTTTCACCCTGGACAAAGGCAGGAAGGTGCCAGCCAGGCTACCGAGTCACCGTGTGCTTCAGGAGCCCAGGGCCCCAAGCTGGGGACTCCCAGCCCAGTGACCACCTGCAGTAGTCACAGGAGTTTTAAGACATGCATTCTCCTTAAAGCCCCACCGTGCTTTTACGTGCTTGCTCTCCAGAGCCGGCAAAGCCAGCTATGAACCCAGGGAGCCCTGTTCCTCCTATCTCTGACCTGGTGCCTGAGAGCAGGAGCAGTGCGTCAGGGCAGTGACTGAGACCCTGCTCATCCTTCACAAACAGATAGAGAGAGAGGGAGAGGAAGAAGGAGGGGAGGAAAGAGAAAGAGAGAGGGAGGGAAGGGAAGTTTGAACCAAGTTGTTTTAAAAAACACATCAGGGATCTATGCTACTTATATTAAGGGGGAAAAAACCAAGTAAGCTCCCATTAGCTCCCTCATCAGACAAGTATCTTTAAATAACATGTCACCACTGCAAGGATTTCAGAATCTAAGATTTCCAATTTTGCTGTAATTCTGACTTTCCACCCTCTGGGGTCCATTAACCAATGACAACACTTTGGGAAGGGAAGAGTTGTCCATGACCTGGAACAAATCTGAAGGCTCAGTGTGGTGCATGGATAGGAGGCCTGCTTTTTCACCCTGGGAGTCGCCCTGAGGTATACCTCGGAGTCCTGCCGAGCCCATCCGCGCCTTCTCTTGTTGGTACAGATCTCTCTGCTGCTGGGTGAGGCTAAGGGTCTGCCCTTTGCTGTGGTATGTCGTGCAGTATTGAATCACCTGTTCATAAGCACCCTTCATGAAACAGATCTCTGGTCTGTCCTGAGAAGAAAAACATGCAAAATAAATGCACACATCTCGCATTGGATTCCTGAGACACACACTGGGGATGGAGAGAGCAGGAAGGCTCGGTTCTGTGTTCGCAGCCCATTTTCTGTTGTTACCAAGAGCACACACAGCTAAGTGCACACACCCACTGAGTCAGGGGGCCATTCTTACCCTCCCTGCTCTTTAAGCTTTTAACTGTCCCTCGCTGTCAGCTCCAGGCCCTCCCTCAGCTGCTCCTGTCATTGTGTACGGTTCTTAAAGGGCACATTCAAGGCAGGCACTCTGGGTTGGCAGCACAACTCTCTGCAGAGAGGCCACAAGAGCGCCCTGAGCAAGGCAGGCCTTCCTCACCAGTTAAACTCAACTATCAGTGTTTAGTAGGTGTAAGAAGACGATCGGGGACTCTGTTTATGGCTTAAAGATATCTCAGGATAATAGTTTTTGGTACTCATCAAACTTCCAAGGCTCCGACAAGTGTAGATTCCTTAATGTGAAGTTCTGCTTGGCCTCTTGTTGTTCTGCTTAGGCTGCTTCTACAGAATCTTTCACCAATCAGTAAAGCTAGCTGGGCATCAAGCAGATCTGGCAGTTTCACGGCTAAGGAGATGTACAGTCTGTCTTGACTAACAGATCATACACGCTCCACCTGTCTTTTTCAAAAGCCTAACTGCCACTTTTTGCTGTTGTTTTCTTTATTGTTAGTTGTTGTTAGATGCCACTGAATCAAGTATGATCCTATGACCGTATCATACTGACTCTATGAACAACACATCTGAACCCTGCCCTATCCTGTGTCATCCTTACAAGCTCAGCAGTCACCGCATCAATCCACCTGGTCGAGGGTCTTCCTCTCCTTCACCAACGCTCCACCTTGCCAAGCATCATGTCCCTCTTGAAGGAACAGCCTTTCCCAGCAACATGCCTGAAGCATTTGAGATGAGGCTTCACCATCTTTGCCTCCAATGGGCACCCAGCGGCACTTTCTTCCAAAGACATATTTGTCTTTTGGGAGTCAGTGGAATAGTCAGTGCTCTTCTCCAATTCATACTAATTCCTTCTAAATCTGTACACTTGGCCTGTCTGTGTTGCCACATCTACATGGGGTTGACCTCTTCTAGATGCTGTCAGGTCAAAGGCATCAATTCCTCTGTAGTCCTTATTCACTGTTCAGTTCTCAGATGCATAGCGAGCGATCAGAAAGACCATGGCTTTAATCAGACACACCTTAGTTCTCAAACTGACATCATTGCTCCTCAATACTTTGGAGAGGTTCCTGACTGCAGATTTTCTCACTGCAACACGTCTCCTGATCTCCTGACTGCTGGTACCAAATGTACTGACTGTGGATCCAAGCAAAATGAAGTCACTGACAATTTCAGCCTTTTCTCTATCTACCATGACATTGCCTATCAAGCCAGTGATAAGGATTTTTGTTTTCTTGCAGTTGAGATGTGATCCATATTGAAGACTGCAATGTTTAACCTTCCACAACAAGTGCTTCAAGCCCTCCTCACTTTCAGCAAGATTGTGTCATCAGCGTTAACACAGGTTACTGATGAGTCTTCCTCCAATCCTGATGCCACATTATTCTTCATAGATTTATAGCATAGTTTTCTTTACACTCATCACTAATTCTTCCCAAACTCCATAATGCAACTATAAAATGCTTCTCAATATTCTCCACCTGATCAAATGACTATGTAAGCTATTACTTCCTTCCATATTTCACTGGCAAATCTCCCTCCTTGAATTTCATTCTCTCCTCCTTTTCCAGCCTGAGCTCCCCGGTATGTAAGCCTGCTGCACCACGGAGATCTTGGAACTTCCCTGGAAGCAAAGTGGTTAAATGTCTGGCTGCTAACTAAAAGGTTAGCAGTTCAAATTTAACAGCAATGCTATATGAGAAAACTCTTGTAGTTGGTTTCCGGAAAAAAGCCTCAGAAACCCAAGCAAATAGTTCTACTACGTCCTACCAGAGGTGCAATGATTGGAATGCATTTTTTTCTTTGTTTCCTGCAACCTATTCTCCCTTGGTTTGGTCTATATCTTTCATGATGAAGACTTTTCCCCCTAAATATGTTTCAATCTTTGCCAGGATCCTTACAATCCAACACGAGGCAATAAACAGATCAGAAATGCCAAGACACTGCCATCTGACCAACAGGTAGGCCGGGCCTAGGCGGAATACTTTAGGTCCTCCAGTATGTAACTTGAGTGAGGTCAGAGTCCAAACTGGTAAAAGAAATCCTTCAATAGCACACAGGCCACATCATTTTGACACATGTGTAATGATTTATAAAATGGAGTGAAACAGAGACTCCAAATAAATTTAAATATATATATATATGCTAGCTTTATAAAGTCTTACCAAATAAACTCATACGCATGAAACAGTAGCTAAAAATTATCGAAGTCTAATGTGATTTTTGAAAGTTTACAATAGATGGCATCCTACAGTTTGCTTCCAACTGTTTCCTTAAGCGTTTTTTAGAAGTTCCTTTAAAACAAACTTAAGACTGGATTTTTCTTCTCCTCAGAAACAAGTCACAAACTTCAATTCACAAGTTCAGTGGTATGGCCAAGTTCACTTTTCTTTTAAAACCAATAAATCATTTCTGGCCTCCTATATGTGGGAGAAATCTTCGCTTTCATTCCTGCCTACAGAGATGTAACCTGTTTCAGAATGTCCACAAGTGACAACGTTCAATTCCAAGAGGAAACGTGCAGATAGCAGATTTTACCTTTTGAGAACAGTCTATTCCCATCAAGATGGTACTAGCAATTAAGAATTTTAAGATTCCTCACTGAAGATAACTGAAAACATGTATTATACTAACAGTGTAAAAACCTTTCTCAAGCAAGTAAGGCTGCAGTATGAACACAGAATGTCAGTTCACTGGTTAATAAACTGGGTCAGACAGCATGAGTAACGCAACCCTCCACAAGAGCGGCTGGCACAGCAGCTGCAGTGTTTTGAAGGCTGCAAAGTCATGCAAGGATTCCTTCTGTCGTCCAGCAGATGCTCCAAGTGTGAGCCACCTTGACGTCACCTAACAACAACACGTCTGGAAACCACAGAGAATGTGGTTTTCCTTGTCGTATAGACTTAGACATTACGTCAGTGAAAGGCCACTGGTTGAAAACACTCAGCAGAGACCGACAATGAAATATCATCAAGAACAAAAGCATGCTGTAAGAACCTGATACCACAAACTCCGGGTGACTGAGACAAGTAACTTAAGAAAACAACTGTTGCTTATACAGCAAAACTCTATAGCTGTAGCTCTACAGGCTCAGCTCTGTCTCACTCAGTGACTTACTTGCAAGACCTAAAGATGGACCACAATGAAGACTATCTCAACTGACAGATCAGAACAAGCATTAAATAGAAAAATACCTGCTGTGTCCTGTGCACACACTTCACAGCCATCCACTTTTGCTCAGAGCTGAAAGGGTACTCAGTTTTTCTGATATAGTCTTCTTGAAGTCCATCGAGACCCATCTATAGGACACATACAAAAAAGGTCATTATCAACAGGAGGGGGAATCTCCACTCTGTTAACAAAGAATAAGATTCACAACATACGGCTAAACGGCTAGGGAGACTCCTTTTTCAAATAATGGTGATACAGTAGTAGTAAAGCCCTGTCTACATCCACTAGCTCTCTGTACAGCAGCGTGCATTGCCAACATGGAAGCTAGCGGGCAGATGCCACTGAAGTCACAGAACAATAGCAGGCAGTCTGAACTACATGAAAGCAAACTTTCAGTGATAATCTATCATATCTTTAATGCCTCAAAGTTTGGAATTCAGCAGGGTGTCAATAAAGGGACCTAACCAATTCTAAGCATCTATTTTTACAATTACAAATCAAGTTTTAAATTGAACCCTTCACTTAGGAATGCAAATCTGCCACCTTATTGCCTAACCCCTGTCCTCTAGGGCCCTTCCACCCAATCTTCATATAAAGTGACAGGACACACAGTTAAAATGGGTCCAAACAATAAAGAAATGTCGCCCTCTGTTGAAGAACTCCATATATATTATAGATAGCTAGAAATAACTATCACCTATTTGCTTTACTGAATTTAATTAAACTGTTGTTTTAGATAAGATCACATCTGAAGTGGCCTACTGCTTCTAAAAAAGTGGAGCACCCTGCTTCTAAAAAAGTGGAGCACCCTGTGCTTTAGGGGAGGGAGACATTGGAGTCTGCACTTTTTCACAAAATCAAATGCAGGCTTTGGCCCTACTAAAGTAACAACATCACACAAGTCAAAGAACAGAGCCCAGAAACATCACGGATACAGACCTTCATCGCAAGAGCCATTAAAGCCCCTTCTGTTGGCTTCCCCATAAGAGTGTTATTTCTAATTACAGCATCATTGCACACACAGCCAGCCTAAGAGAAAAACACACAACGTGTGAACTATCACTGTGCCCCGCTGTGACAAAGAAAGCCACTTCCTTGGAGACAGAATCCTTCTTACCTCAACAATCCTGCTGACAGCTGGGTTATAGAATCCATGAACAACATCACCATCAACAATCACTTCTCCAAACTGATTATAACCCACTCCAGTAACCTAAGGAGCAAAAGAAGCAATGCTGATGAGAAGCAGAACTATGAGATGTGTTAGCTTTACACAGCATGACATTGTTACAATGTGTACAAGAAATGTATTTCAATGTGTCCACAGGAGATTGAGATTTAATAATGTAATGAATTTAAATTATCATTTTTTTTAACATGATGACCATATAAAGATATTAGGTTTATGTGTTCAAAGTTTATTTTTTTAATTACATATTGTAAACCATTAAAATGTTTGTACACAAATATGCTTCAATTTAGGAAACTTCACATTTATACAGCCTATTACATTTGCAAAGAAGTTTAAGTCATTAGCATATGGTAATTCTCAATAGAATCTTAATAAAAACCGAACTCTTTTTTTTGTTTTAAATACCAAGACTCAGAGGCATTGGATTGAGCCAAGGACTTAAAATCTACTTTGACAGGCTGTTGCTATGTGCCTCTTACACGACCCTTTGACCAAGAGATCTGACCCTTGTCCTGTCCTGTGCAGTCCTCACCATCTCTGATGTATCTGAGTCCATTGTTACCGTCACTATGGGATCCACCCTGTGACTCTTCCTGTCTCTCTGACCCTTCTACCTTTCCCAATATGATGTCTTTTTCAGGGTCTGGTCCCTCCCAACAACAGGCCCAAAGTCTGTAAGACAAAGTTTCACCATCTTTGCCTCAAAGGACCACCTGGTTGCACTTTCTCCATGTCATATTTGTTTGTTCACAATTTTACAAATAAGTGCTGGTAAATTCAGAGACAGAGACTAAACAAAAATTATATTTCCTTAAAAAAACCATTTAGAAGGAAAATTATTAACATATGGTACATACATGACATATAAAACAATGGACTTTAAAATTCCTGAGCTCCACCATGTTAACCTAACTTTAACAGCCCTTGGAGTCATCTGAAAAGGACATATTAACCAACGTGAGACAGGATATCAATGGCCAAATACAATACTTTAAATACCAACAGACTGAGTTTAAGATCGATGAATAATGGAACGAAATCCACCCACATACAACTGCGTCAGCACCGCAAGTGCCACCGCAGTTTAAAAGCCTGGGCCTGTCCTACGTCATGTTCATGAGCATCCCAGCTCAGGACTGGCTGAGACAGGCACTCACAGGCACATGGCTCCAAGATGACCCAACACAGTGACCTGCACAGAAATACCTATTTGTAAAATAAAGTAACAAATTCAGTCATTCATTCATTACAGAAATATTTCAATGAGGCTAGCCCTGTGTTAGGAAAGATGGCTCTTGGTCTCGTATAATTTGTAACTGGAAAGGAAGAAAATGTCACCTGGAATAGGAATCAAAAGGTGTGCTGTGCTATAAAACATGTTTTCTAAGACGTGGCTCAGTCTCCTGGATGTACCAGCTGTACCCTGGGAGAAGGATGGTCAGTTTCCTCGCTTAAAGAGTTACAACCTCAAGGATTCAATGGCGGGTTGTGAAACGCAGTGGGTGTAAGAATGGCTAAAAGTTATGGAAGGCAAAAAATGGCGGGCTGTGGTGAGGTTAGAGGCAGGGGAGCCTGAAGACATCGGGCAGGATTCTACCTCTGGACTGTCCAACTCAAACTCATTGCCTTCTGGTCAAAACCCACTCACAGCTGAGCGTCCCCTGGTTTTCTAACGTTTAAATCACACAGGAAGAGATCTGCGCATCTTTCTCCCTCAGAGGAGCTGGTGGAGAAGATGCCAGAGAGGAGTGGCCTCTAGATGAGCAGGGCAACTCCTCCCAGGACCTGCCCACCCAGGAGGACTACCGCTCTGGACACCATCACACGGGAAGGCGATGGCTCAACAACCACCTCACAGCTCTTGTGAAGATAAGACCTCAGCATCACTACAAATGTTAAACTTCAACATTTTCTATCAAGCAACAGTATTACTAAAGCGAACCCAGCCAATGAACCTGCACGGTACCTCAGCATGCTGCCCGTCGGAAGTGAGTATGTGCGTCACGGTCATCTCATTCTTCGTCAGTGTTCCAGTCTTATCTGAACAAATCACATTGCAGCAACCTAAAGAGTAAGTTATTACTTGTTACCAAAGAATCAGAGGGAGAAAGAGTGTGTAACTGGAGGGGAAGGGAAAAGAGAAAACACACAAGCACAACAAAGCAAAACCCAGCCAATGCCTCCAGAAGCTTATCCTATATGTCTGAATTCTGAGATGAACCCCATCAATCATTTCAGAGTCATATTTTTTAGTATGCTGGCTTCCTAAAAAGGTAACACTTCTGCACTGAGAATAAAAATCAGATAATGGTAAATGTTGATATTATCCCATTTGATTTTCAGTTGATTTCTGCAAAGATAGGCAATTTCAGGTTGATATAACAATTTAGGGAGCTCTGGTGACAGAGTGGTAAGAAATTATGCTGCAATCCCAAAAGCACGCAGTTCAAATCCACCAGCTGATCCAAGGCATCAGGATGGGCAATCTCCTCCTGTTCTACTTACTGCCCCTGAAAACCTGCAGGAGGGTCAGCTATGACTCAGTTCTGACTCAACAGTACTCAACAAACACATAACAATTTAATGCTTTTTTTTTTTTTCAAAGCTTGGAAGGTGTCTAAATTTAACTCTATTAAAATTTATTCAGATGAAAATTAGAAAAACTTTATTATTTACAAACCCTAAGTTAAATGTCTTTAAAATGTTTTAAACCACACATAAAGCTATATTATAGCAATAGAATTAATAAAAATTTACTGTTCTTTTAAATAAACTCATTCAGGATGATATTCTAGGACCCAGAGTTATCCATTATCTTCCTTTGAGATGTCAAAAGAACTCTATTAATTTTACTCATGGGTTTTATTTGCTGTATGGCTTTACGATTTAGCCTTTAGAATACCCCACAGGTTATAAAAAGATGTCTCTTAAAATGCCCTTCCCTGACCTCAATGTATGCATTTCTTAAATTTTTTTTTTTATTAAAGCTACAGCAAATTCTTTCACAAGTCAGAACTACTGTGCAAAATTCCTCTAAGTAAAAAACTGTAAAACCCAAAATTGACTATTGCCATGAAACTACACACATCCATAAGTATGTTTCTAACAAAGACTTACCCAAAGTCTCAACAATAGGCAGTTTTTTCACAATGGCCCTTTTCTTCACCATTCTCATGACACCGAGAGCCAGAGTCACCGTGACCACAATGGGAAGTCCTTCTGGAATCGCTGCTACAGCCAAGCTACAAACAAGGGGGACATGGCTTGAAATAACTGTCCACACGGGACCCACCACCATCACTCCAATCACAGACTACTCCAAATGACAGCTGATAAAATTTAACAGTGAGCACAAGAAAAATTATCTTCTCTAAGGAAGGGAAAGAACATAAATGTTCCAGGGACATTTATTTACTAGCTGCCAGATGGCGCATGGTAGTTCAGAGTACAGCTTTGAAGTCAGATGCCAGAAGCTGCACTCCAAGCTATACCAATTTTTACATGCGTGGCCAATGTTAATAACAATGACTTGATAAGATTTAATAGGGGGTGAGGGGGACTTAAATGGCAAAGCATGAAAACGTATCTATCGCAGCGCCAAATATTCAATAACTGTTATGTTCTTTACCACCATTATCTTAATGAATTTTCTCTAACATCTCATAAATTAAATCCATTTTACAGAAGAAAAATAAAGAAATTTAAAGAAAATTACTTTGAACATAAATACTAGCCCATGTGGGTATTTTAAACAAGATCTCCTTCCAGACCCCAGCTTTCTTAAGTCTGCCACCCAAACAGGTAATCTGATCCTGGCTGCACACCACTCGTCTTCAGGCAGCACAGGTCTGCAAATTAGGGATACCTTCTTCCCCTCAACTGTATGGCACAAATTACCATCTTCCTTTCTTCCACTCTTAAGTTCACACAAGTAGAAGACAATTTTAGAGTACTTGCTTATCTATTTATAATGAGACGGGTATTCTGGCTAGGTATACACTGGTGAAGTCATGGTCCTTTCCCTCATGATCTGAGAGCATTGTCCAGGCTCTTTTAAATTTTCCACTATTGCTGTCAATAAAGGGTTAACAAAACCACACCTGTTTTCTCATCTGCCTGCAGTTAACTTTGGAGCTCCGTTCCTTAATGACCTGATAAAGGTGGTGTGTCACCTACGTTGCTAGGGCAACAATGTTTAAGACAAAGACATCTATTCCCTGACAAACTGTCTTGGGGATTCTCACAGGAAACCGAAGCTAAGAGCTTCCTGAGCTGGTGGTGGTGTTGGCCACCAAGCACATCCCCTTTGCAGGCACCTGGGATACTCTACCTGGAATCCCAGGAGGTTCCCGTCTTCACGGTACCCAGTTCATGAGTCAACACCTGTGCGGATCTACTGTGTGGAATGCTTCAGGAACTCTCCAGGAGAGTAAGGCCTCAAGATGCTCAGCATTTTCTTACAGTAAAGCCTTCTGAACAAACAAGTGGCCGAGGTGGCTCTGAGCGCCATGGATCTGAATGTACATTAGCGTCTAAAGGTCACCTGGTGAAGTGCAGCTGCTAATGCAGTCTAACTCTGCTTCCTCTGGGGGTGACCTCACTGTTCGTTCTGGTCTCACAGATTTCCTGACCCTCACCTGGCATGTGGAAAACCCTCAAATGAGATATTCATGGCTCAGAGCAGTTCACAAAAGTCCTCCTGAGTTATTCCTGACATAATTTCTTAATCTCTCTTTGTGAAGACGTGTTATGTCCTGAATTTTTCTTCTTTATAAACTTTTACCTAATTCTCAGTTTCTAACTTTCTGCTTTACATTTTGGGAAATCCCTCTGGCTTTAGCCTACAGCTGTTAAATGGAACCGTTCCTTTTGGCAATCATAATCTTAATTTCTAAAGACTCTTTTTTTGGTCCTCTAATCTTTTCTGAAGTAATTTATCACTCAATCAAAGATGCCATTTCTTCTCCATCTCTGAAAATACAAATGCTTAACATTTAACCTTTATCTTTGCTTTGAATTTGAACATGTGCTTGGAGACTACATGATTTTCACATTCTCTTTTACGCACTTAGTTTTCAGCAGTGCAGTCCTTGAGCACTCTTTATACTTAATAATGCAGTACCATCCTGGTAACTCCAGCTATCTGTTCTGTGTTTTCTTCACTGCCAGATATGATGGTTCTTAATGCCCCCACAAAGTCATTTCAATCTATGGCTTCACACCTATGCAAGCAGAAATACTCTTATGCTCATACACTGCATTATCATCGTAACAAAATGCAAGCTATATCTGTCAGAGAAATAGAACTTTTACTTTATAAGCAAACTATCAGAACTTACCTTACGCTGATAGTAAACATTTCCAAGATATCTTTTCCAAGTAACCAACCAACCAACATGATAATACCTAGAAAAGAATCAAATAGTTAACTTCCCCCTCCTTTCATATAAAGCTCACTAGGTATAGAAATAACAGAATTACCAACTTCACAGCATCAAAAATGTCTTTGAAATAAAAGGGAAGGTATATGAGATCATTTTTGCAACATATTAGGAAAATTTGTTAACCAAGGGAGAATCCAGTCAGCAGCATGGCCACTCAGGCACAAATCACCACCTTCTGTTCTCACTGCCCCCACCTACTCCATAAAGCAACTACAAATCCACAAAGCCGATATTGTTCAGACTAGTTTTTTCATAAGTCAATATCCAGATAATTAAGTTTATAATGCACACAAAGACATGCGCAAACTGGCTCAAATGATGATGAAATTCACTTAAAAGACATTTCAAAGTGCATTAATATTAAAAGTATTGCTTTCATGTATTTTAAAAATTAAAGAACACTCCATTAACATCAACCAAACAACTGATTAGACCTTAGCCTTCAATCTTTATGAAGAATAAAGAGCTCCACAGGGCAGGAGCAGCACCCGAGCTTTAATAGAACAGCCTGAGCCTGTACTTCAGATCAGTGTGAGCATTAAATGATGTGCTTCTCGCTGAGTAACAACAAAATAACGATGCGGATCACGACCCTGTAAAATTGTGTCCAAATACTGTGCTGACCAAAAATCCCAAGCTTAGGGGCAGTGAATTCCAGCAGGGGTCAGTGAATGATCTCCCAGAGCCCTGCTTGCTCTTAAGCCAAATTTGATGGTGCTCAACCACACTCATCCTGTCTACAGTGTCTATGGCAGATTTGCTGCTGACACCAGAGGTGAATTTTTCCACAGGATGGGATGAACTACAACTCTAAAATATTTACTATCTAGCCCATTACAAACAAACACCTGGCAGAACACAGATCTGTTCCATATATATTGCCAAGGAAAATTTTGCTCAATGTACTACATTAGCATAAAACCAGTATATCAATAAATTCAAAGATAGTGTTATTGACTACAGAAATTCTCGAAAATAAACATTAAGGATCAAATGAGGCCATTCTCACTAGCTACTAAAGTGTAGATAGTTGCCTTCCTGCTTTCTACTCCCTATTTATGAAGATAAAAGGAGCCACAGAATTAATATGCACTTAAATATTTCACTGAAACTGTATCAGAAACAATGCTTTGAAATGATATTTACTCACTGAAAAACAGCATGTTAGCTAGAATAAAAATAGAAGGGAAAAAAATTTCCAGAAATATAAAGTTTTTAATGTATAATAAAAATGAAATTTCAATTCAGTGAACAAATAACTGGTGGTATTGAGGTAATTAAAAAACAATTATGCAAAAAAGCTGTTAATTCTATATCATATGATTAAATTCTAAACACACACACAAAAGTAAGTACCAAATATAAAATCTAAAGCAACAGAATAACATCTAAATAGACATTTTTATAACCAGGGGTTGGGAGAACTTTTGCAAGAAACACTAAAGGCAGAAAGCGTCACTGGAGATTGTCCACAGCAGGGTGATGGGCATCTCAGGCAGAGGAAGGCTGAGCTGCTCCACACATCCTCTAGCCCCCCAAGAGTACCATACACCCCTCAAGAGAAAGCAGACACTGCAGACGCTGAGCTTCAACAACAGAGAACCCTTACCAACCCAAGACTCAAGTCACAAGAGAAGAAGAACAAGAGAGAGAATGGCAAGTCACAGAATAAAAAACAAAGTACCAGCGTACATGAAAAACTGTCCCATTTTTCCAATGAGAAACTGCACAATATAAGACACCTTGTATTAAATGCAGGTGAAGCTGGCAAGAGTGTTGGAAGAGAGGAACTAACAACCTGTTCATGGAGAGTGTAGTTGGCAAGATAAAGCAGAAGCTTTTAAAATGTCAAAAAACTAAATTACATGCATATCTTATAACCAACCAAGTGTGTGAGCGAGTGCGTACGTGCGCGTGCACGTGTGTGTAAACACATAATCAGCATTACGCAGCCTAACACGAATCTTTCCCACAGCTGGTGGTGTGGGCTGCAGGGAGCTGCACTGCTAACCTGCAGGTCACACTCTCATGTTCATGACCTCAGTCAGAGAGACGGCACTGCCTCTCCTGTTAGGAACATTTTGTTTACATTTGTTTTAGGTGAACATTATCTAATGACAAGATATTTATGATAGGGTATGTGAGAGAGAGGAAAGAAAAGAAATTAATCCGTAAAAATAATCAGCTTTTTGAGACGAACTTTGGTCGCGTAGCTCACTGGGTGTTGCGCTGCAACTCAAAATTCCATGTGTCTCCTCCAGTAGTTTGAAATCACCGCTGGCTCCAACAGAGAAAGACAGGCAGTCAAACGCAACTGAGATTTACAGCCCCAGAGTCAATGGGGGTCGGGTCCATTTACAACAGTGACTAAGTGAAGCAGCTTAGTGGTAAGAATTGTGCTTCCATCGCAAAAGGTGGTTGGTTGTTGTTAGGTACTGTTGAGTACAACCCAGTAGACAAAACATCTGAACCCTGTCCTAACCTCTGCTATCGTCACAATCTGTAACCCACTGTTGCAGTAACTGGGGCAATCTACTTGGTGGAGAGTCTTCCTCTCTTTTGCCGTCCCTCCACCTTTCCAAGCATGATATCCCTAAGGATTAATCTCCTTAAAGTATGTGAGACAGAGAGTTATTATCTTTGCCCTCAAGGAGCACTCTGGTTACACCTTCTCTAAGACCTGTTTCTTCTTTTGGCAGAGAGATATTCAGTACTCTTCTCCAACACTACAGCTCAAAGGTATCAATTCTTCTCCGGTCATTCTTACTCTTACTGTCCAGCTCTCATCAGATGCCTAACAAGTGACTTAAAAGACCATGGCCTGAATCAGATGCACCTTAGTCCTCAAAACTGACAACACTGCTCCTCAATAATTTGGAGAGGTCCCTGACTACAGATTTTCCTAGTATGTCTCCTGATCTCCTGATTTCTAGTATCAAGTGTACTGATTTTGGATCTAATTAAGATGAAGTCCTTAACAGTATCACTCTTTTAATTCTCTAGACACTGAGATACAATCCTTACCAAAGGCTGCAGTACTTAACCTTCTGCAGCAAGTGCTTCAAGTCTTCCTCACTTTTAGCTATCAAAGTTGTATTATCCACACAGCAAAGATTACTGATGAGTCTTCCTCCAATCCTGATGCCACATTCTTTACAGAGTCCAGCTTTTTAATCATTTGCTCAGCACAGAGATTAAACAGGTATGGAGAAAAGATACAACCTTGACACATACCTTTCCTAATTTTAAACTGTGTAGTGTCTCCTTACTCTGTACAACAGATTATTGGTCTAGGTATCGCAAAGAATACCAGAACCACTGAGCTTCCTCCAGAACTGCCACGGAGAGAAAAGCCTTTCCTTAGAGCTGATACCCAGAGCTTCCTAAACTGTGAGACTTAGCTTGCAGGGTGCTGTACTGTGGGATTCAGCTGCACATTGCTAATTACTCTGTAGCTTTGATGTATTTTGGCTTGTTTATTATTGTTCAAGTCAATACACTTGTCTGTCAGTTTACTGTACTGAAGTAACTTGTGGTTTGCTGTGATGCTGAAAGTTGTGCCACCAGTATGTCAAAATGACAGAGCCCCATTGTGGATAGATTTTAGTAAAGTGCCAAGATTAAGGCAGACCAGGAAGCTGGACTGGCCATGTACTTCTGAAAACACTATGAACAATAGAGGAACATAGATAGTTATAGTGTAAATAAAGCTCAGATTGGAAGTCAATCAAAATGAAGAGAATAAGCTGCAAACATCCCTTAATAGTTGGAACATGGCATATTTGGGAACATGAATGTTAGAAGATTAAAGTTGTGAAAAATGGAATGGAATACATAAACACTGACATTCTAGGCACTAACAAGAGAACCTGGTCTGGCTTTGGCCACTTAGAATCAGACAATCACATGGTATACTATGCCAAGAATGAAAAACACATTAAGAATGATACTGCAATCACAGTTTAACACGTTGCCACAAATGACAGCAAATGTGTTTCTAAGCACAGTCGTCAATGTAAAAGTGTGCGGCAATGTATTAAAAGACAATTTCAAGTTCTATCCTAAAGTACAAAGTTGTAACTGATAAGATATTATTCATACATACATATGTATATTCAAATATATGAATGAATAAACAGCTAAAGCCAAAGAGGGGGAAATTGAAAATTTTTATCAAATTTTGCAGTCCAAAATGGACCACGCATGGAATCAAGATGCATTAATGTTAGCTGGTGCTTGAAATGCAAAAGTAGAGAAGGAAGGGTAGTTGGAAAGCACCAAGCTGATGGCAGAAACGAGGGCGTAAATAGAATGACTGAATGTTGTGTGTTCGATGAATGCAAAGGTAGGAGTTCCAATCCACCGTATGTATGGTCTATGGGAGAAAGAAGGGCAATCGCGTCCCATGTCATTAACTGCCTCTGAAAACCCGCTAGACGGTCAGACTTGGGGCAGTTCTGATTCAACGTACACAACAACTAGAAAGATCAATACCAAAATGCCGGAAAAGCACTCTGGTTATTAAGAATGATATAGTTTTACTTAGGAAAAAACACAATAGCTGAACATTAGTTTTGTGGTAATTTTTGAAAACGCAATGAGAAAGGACTACAGCAAGTCCTCCCTTCTTACATAAGGACAAGTCGCCTGAGCACACGAGGCAGCCCCCACCCTCTTCTCTTACCGATTATACCAAAGGAGTAGAAGGAGAGCTGCTTCCCCAGAAGGTCCATGCTCTTCTGGAGAGGCGTTTTCGGTGCCTTGACAAATTGGAGAAAAGTGTCATGACAAGTATGCAAACATTAACACAAGTAAACACAAAGGTATGGAGTTTTTAAAACTAGGATATTTAAGATGCCAGGTTAATAATATCAGTCAATGTTACCACAGTAACAAAAACACCTTAAGCCCATAGGGAGCCAGAAACTTGGCTAGGTGTCCTCAGTACTCAGCTGACAACTGACCACACAGCTTTCCCTCACCTCATGCCAAAATAAACACTAGCATTTTCACAGGAGAAACTGAGGTGTAGAGACTTCAGTGTGTAAAGTCTTAGCAAGGAAAGCCAAAAATGTCAACTTTATATTTAGGAAGGTCTATTTCCCTCACGCTTCTTTTGGAAGAATAATTTCTTCTTCCACCAACCTCACCTTCTCTGGGCTTCCCATCAGCAGCCACGATACCTCCTGGTTCTTCAACCTTCCACATCTGCCCCTATAGACAGGCTCGCTGTCCAGGTCTGTTCTACCCTGTTTACGCCTCTTAATCAGCTTCCTGCTTGGCTGTCTTCCTGTCACTGCCTAGCCTGGTAGACTAGATTTTTATACTTCATTACATACTGGAGTCTTAACAAGTAAGATGAAAATTCCAGGTGATTTTTATAGCCCTATAAGAACAAAATTTTTTTTCATCTAAAGAAACATACTTAAAGTAACTCAGAGTCTCACTTTCAAAAACCTTAACAAGTAAGAATATCTTGTAAGTTATTTTCTTGCTTGAAATTATGTAAATTTTAAAATGTTAGAAAAAATGTTCTTGAGATACAAATATACTAATAAGCAATCCTTAAAACTGGTATGATTAATTTTCTTGACAGAATAAGATGTATAATTAGCCACAATTTTTTTTATTATAAAAACTGAATAAACCCAAAGTGTTTTAAAATAGTATTATCAACTCATGAACTCCTAATAAATGCCAATCCAATTATGTTTGCATGGCTGTAACAGGCAACTAAGTGATATTATGGGGGAGCCACTGTATAATATATGACATAACTGAATATTCTCTTTCCCTCTACTCTAATTCAAGACTAGAAACTAATTCATCAGCAAATCAAATACTCACTTCTTCTGCCTGCATCATTTTAAAAACTTCTCCAAACTCAGAATTTTCTCCTGTTCCAATGACAATACCCTAGGAAGAAAAATACATTCAGATAGAATCAACTCTCCCAACTAAAATCCAAACTTCTTTCCTTTTTTTAAAGGCTAGACCACAGTGACATGTCTCACATTCACATCCAAGGTTCTCAATATTACTATAGATCATTAGTATTTATGTCTTTGGGTGCAGACTGTGGAAGTATCATTAGAATAACACTACTTCAATTCTGATGTCCACTTCTGATTAAGTTGTTTAGTATTTCTGAAATTTGGATCCTTTATAGTCAAGACAAATATTTAATGCCATTACTTCTATAATCTCAACCACCACTGTGTCGTTTATATTGGTGGAATATTAGAATCAAAGAAACTAAAAATAATCAGGAGGTGAAGGACATGTAGTCAGAGTAACAAACCCAGTACTATCTCAACTAAGTATGAAAGATCTCTACCAGCAGCTCAAGAACCAATCCCACTCCTGACACCAAAAAAAAAAAAAGAACCAATGCTTCTGTGTTAAAAAAGGAAGAGGCACCAAGCACTATGGTTTGAAAACACTTACTGTTTGGAAAATGACAGAACTGTGGACAAAGCTTTATTCCAGCCTCACAAAGAACTCCCTTGAGTTAGGCAATTCATTCTACCATTTCTTACCACGTATTTTATAAAATACACAAAATAAAAAGGTAAAATGGTTAAAAGCAAAAGAACAACAACCAACCTTGGCTTTGCCACAGATGACCAGTGTTCCCATGAAGGCGATGTTACTTCTTGACGCCAGGTCTCCATTGGTGGCAGCTGGCTGAGGAGCTGTGACCTTAGAACAAGGGGTGGTCTCTCCGGTCAGGCTGGACTCATCAATGGAGAGGTCTACGGCCTAGGAAACAGAAAGCTTGGATGGGTTCAAGTCTGTGGACTTTCTGCACAGTGTTTACCATCCAAGAGTTCACAGGGACCACTGCCTCAAACAACTCTGCAGTGACACTGTCAGTGTCATATGACTGTAACTCAGAGACACAGGACCAGCATCATTAAGAACGTCAATTAAAGTGAGGACACGAAAAGCAGAATGCTATGAGACTATACTAAATCTCATACATATGCAAGAAAAGGAGTCACCAACTGAGATTCACTCATCTCATCAACTGAAAACTCCTTAATGATAAAGTACACCAATTTTGCTGTTTCCTGGAAACAAAGTTCTAAAAATATGTTTGGCAGATTAAAAGCAAACATGAATAAAGATTTAAAAGGGAAAAAGTAATTTCATCTTTTAGTTCAATGCTCATTAAATTCCTTTCACTATATATCCCTGCATTTATTTCAAATGAGTTTATATGAACCAAAAGGTAAATACAGAGGCTTCTACAGAGATCATGAACCATAATACCTTCAAATGCAACAAAGTTCCATTCTTCATTTACAATTAAGAAGTCACATACCCAGGTGATTCAAGCTCAGTCACCGAGTCAGAAATCACTCACAGGTGACCCTCTAGTGGGTTTTCAGAGACTGTAAATCACATGGAAGGAGAACGCCTATCTTTCTCCCATAGAAATTAGACACTGCAATTAAATAATTAATCAGTGACAATGTTATAAGACAAAATGTCTATGAGTGAGTCTATGAAAAGCCAATTACGATTCGTAAACTTTCATTCAAACAAAGAAACTACATCTTCCCATAAACAGCCTCAGATGATCTCTCATAATGGTTAACTACTTATTTGATCCAGAAAATCCAAAAAAACCATGCAACTCAAATTTTCAGGTCCACTTTAAAGACACCCAGACCATCAAGGGTATGCCTGGCTGAGAAATCCCCAAGTATCAGAAAGATGCCTCTTTGGAAAGGCAGTGCATACTATTGTAATGGTGGGTTTGGACACAGGATTCATTTTATAAAATTTTAAAAAAAAAAAAACAACCACCATACAATGTACTTAAGTGATTGTTTGAAACACACTGTCAATGAAAAAATGTAGGAAACACAACATACATGAATAATGTATAATGTTTACAAATTTTCTATGAAAACCAGTATAAAATAAAGTGGGGGGGGAGGAATTCCATTATTAAGAGGGAAAAGGTAGTGGTGACCTGCATCCAGATGCTGAGGATAGATCGCAAGGACACAGTATCAGGCAAACCCTAAACACGCCACAGAAAATATCCATGAGCACAAGCGTCCAACCAGACTATGTAAGCAGATGCTGTGGACAGTCCAGGCCATGCAGCAAGCAGGAACCCCTGCAGCTGAAGTTTAAGTTTTCCCCATGTGGAATTCTTTCTCCAAATACAGAAAGACATCCTTGGAACTAGCCAGGAAATAAGCTACTTTTCTCAAATGTTAAATAAACTATTATGCACGTGTAAGAGATAAATATGCTAAAAAAAAAAAAGAGATAAATATGCTCTAGGACCGCTCCATTAAAATCACCGTGTGACCAATCCACTGGCCACTATGAGCTGTACAGCAGAGAGCTCCAGTGACTTTAGTGCAGATGGACTTCCACCATTAACTGAAAGGTCATGCCTCTCTGCACATTCAAGCCACCAAGAGCTGGGCAGGAGGAAGCACGTCATTTTTTTCCTGTGCAATTACAGCTTTGGAAACCTACAAAGAGGGTCAGCAACCAGTCACTTTCCACATGACTGCACTGGATTTTGTTTTGTTTTTAAACTATCCAACAGTGCATTTTCTCAAAAATCAACAACAATTAAATTTAAAAAAATCTTAGAGGAAAATATCCATAATGACTGTATAAAACCGGTTCCTCTACACTCTGCTGTCCACCAGTGGCTCTCTGGACCGTAAGATGGAAAGGCCACTTTCCTACTGACACACTGTAACTCCCTCCCTCATCTGGCTTAGGAAAATACACTAGAGTAAAGGGGGGGAAAAAGACATCGCAAAGCGCCTCACATTTTGGTATTAAGCCTCCTAAAAGTACTTACAAACATGTGTCTTGTTCTCTAGACACTTAACATCATTAAACAATGTACAGCAATCAGGTCACTTGACAGTGTGTTGTACAAATTCACGAAAGATCTACAGCCAAAATCTGAAACCTCACCCAATGAAATGCACGGCCAGAATCATAGAGTTGCAGTCAGACAGTGCTAAACTGGCAATCTTAAATAGTGGGTCCAGTGCAAAAGTTCAGGCATTCACCTTTTCTAAACTAAAATCTGTCTGTGCAGCTCTGGGAGAAAGGAACGACAGCCCAGTCCTGGTTCCCTTTTTCCCACTGCTGACAAACTGGAGGTGACACCCAACTTAGCCTCCTGTGGTGACCCAAGGCTGGAAGGACAGAGAGGAGACTTCATCTTTCTCCTAAAGAGGCACTGGTGGATTTGAACTGCCAGAAAGGCAAACAGAGACTCCCCACACACTCCCTACACAGCTCTCTCCTGTTCCTTTAAGACCTAATGAAGTTGTGTGGTACAGCTGGTTGAGTGATGGGCTGCTAACTAAAAGGTCAGTGGATTGAACCCCCAGGTGCTCCATGGGACAAATGCAGGGCCATCTGTTCCCAGAGACTGACAGCAGCTATGTGAGAGTCGCTATGAATCACAGTCAACTTGACAGCCAACGTTAAATCCTAAAGAAGAGTTTATTTCACTGAGGATTATCAAATAACCAATCAGATCCAAAGATCATAAAAGTCAAACAAAACTCTAATAAGTCAATTTAGTCTCCTAAACACTAGCACCCATGCCTGTATCTAGAGGGGAAATGAACCTTTTCAATTTTATTATGACTAATATCTTCAGTCAAGATATTGAAATCTAAAAGTAAAACAAAATGTTCATGTATTTTAGGCAAGTTCTTTTTAACCACTATCAAATTGCACAAGCTTACAAATGTGACTCGGTGAACCCTGTCCTATCCTGGGCCATGCTCACCATCTCGAAACACCTGGGTCCAATGCTGGACTGATATATCAATCCACCTGGTTGAGGGTCTTCCTCTCCTTCACTGACCTTCCACTTTTCCAAGCATGATGTCTTGCTTCAAGGACCAGACCCTCGTAACAAGGTCTGCGAAGCTTCACCATCTTTCCCTCTAAGAAGCACCGTGGCTCCACTCTCTCCAACAGATATTCGTCTGTTCTTTTGGCAATTCATGGAATATTTAGTGTTCTTCTCCAGCACAATAGTAGTTTTTATTGTTGTCAGGTGCCATCGAGTCAAGTACAACCCATAGGGACCCTATAAATAGCGGATCTGAACCCCGTCCTATCCTGTGCCATCCTCACACTTTCTGATAGACTCGAGCCCACTGCAGCAGTCATGGTGTCATCCACCTGGTTGAGGGTCACCTCTGCTTTGATGTCCCTCTCGAAGGAACAGTGCCTCCTAGCAACATGCCCAAAGTGTGTGAGGCGAAGCCTCATCAACTTTGTCTTCAAAGAGCACTCCGGCTGCACCCTCTCCAAGACATATTTGCATTTGTTTGTTCTCTTGGTCGTCCATGGCAACAACACAGCTCAAAGGCATCAATTCTTCTGTCATATCCATTCACTATTCAGCTCTCAGATGCACAGTAGGTGATCAGAAAGATATACTTTAGTCCTCAAACTGACATAATTATTCCTCAGTTAAGTTAGAGAGGTCCATAACTGCAGACTTTCCCAGTGCAATGTGTCTCCTTATTTCCTGACTGCTGGTACCAACGGTGTTAAGTGTAGGTCCAAGTAAGATGAAATTGTTGACAGTTTCAATCTCTTCTCCATCCAGAATAATGGTGCCTATCAGCCAGTGGTAAGAATCTTTGTTTTGACAATGAGATGCAATCCATACCTGCAATCCTTGATCTTCTACAACAAGGGCGTCAAGTTCTCCTCACTTTCAGCAAGCAAAGTCAGGTCATCTGCATAATGCTGGTTACTGATATATCTCCCTCCAGTCCTGATGCCACCACCTGCCTCCTCCTGGGAGTCCAGCTTCTCAAATTATTTGCTCAGCACACAGACTGAATAAGTATGGGAAGAGAATACAAGCCTGATTGCACACCCTTCCTAATTTAAAACCATACAGTATGCCCCTGCTCTGTTCACACAACAGCCACCTGGTCCAGGTATATGTTTCCCATGAGCACAGTTAAGTGCTCTGGGACTCTCTTCTTCTCAATGTCAGCCACAACTTGCTATGATCCACACAAGTCAAATACCTTTGTGGTGTTGTTATGTGCCGTCGAGTCATTTACAACTCACAGAAATCCTACGTACAGTAGTCCTAAAACCTGCTCTATCCTGTGCCAACCTTATTATTTATCACTGGCACATCTACCTTCATTATCCCAGTCACTGAATCAATCCAACTCAAGGGTCTTTCTCTCTTGCACTGTCCTTCTACATTGTGTTTCAGGCCAGAACTTGAAATTAGACTTTTTGACTATGAATGCAACACTATTCTTATTTTTCTTTCCCAACATAGGATACCATATGATTATCTGATTCAAAGTGGCCAAAGCTGGTACATCTCCTCTACATTATGCCTACTACATTATGTTCACGCATTCCATTTCATTTTTTACAACTTCCCATTTTCCAGCATTCAAGCTACGTACATTTCATATGTTCCAATTATTAACCGATGTTTATCTCTTTTTTGGAACCTCCTGTCTGAAGTTTACCCAAGGTATAAATGATTGATATGAGAACATCCACTGTCCCTCTGAACAGTCTGAAGGTTTACAAGAACGTGATTTTAAGGACCATTGAAAATGTTTTAACTTTTCCTCTAAATACATATTATTTCTTCCATTCTTATTACCCATACTTTACTAACAACATTCCAAAACTTACCTCAAACAAACGTAAGTCAGCAGGAACTCTGTCTCCAACAGAGAGACAAACTGTATCCCCTGGGACCAAGTCTCGGGCAAGCGTGTGCTCCAACTTTCCTTCCCGTACGCTTGACCAAGAAACAGAAGTGACCCTGGTTAAAACATGTCATGACATTGACCTAAAAAATTCTTCCCACTGGGCTTTGCCTGGAGGAAAAGGTTTCCTTCCTACTACTTCTAATGAGATAATTAAGACCCAAGAAGGGGGCTGGTTTTGTGTTCTTGATAATTAAGATGCTAAATGATGGAAAATCTGGTTAGCTGCTCATATGTAAAATGTAAAAACTAGCCTAGGAATTATCAAGTGTGTGTATCCACATGCAAAAGTAAAATTTATGTTGAATAAATTCACAACTCAAGAATCTCAAAATTATATTTACATTTTAACAGTCCAGTTTTGCTACAGTGACTATAACTTGAACATACGTCAAATTACAGAGTAGCTTGCATGAGTCCATTTTAAAAGAGCAAAAATACTCCTCAGAAACCAGGAACATACCAATGGCATTCTGGGGGCACAAGTTTACTCAATTCTTCAAGAGATTTTTCTGAACGGTATTCCTATTAAAAGAAATAAATAGAATACTCAGAATAAAACATTAAGAAACACAATACTTATTTTAAAATTTCCTCCATTTTTTATCTCTACCTTTACCTGTGCCTACTTTTCTACCCAGAAAAGCTTGCTCTTATACTAAATAATTAGCGTAATCAAACTATTTTTATCATTAAATACTTTCAAATGTTGCATTTAATTGTCAATGTGCAAATCATAGATTTTTAAAATAAAGCTGATTAGTCAGTAAAAATATGTAATTTTGAGTCATTAAAAAATATTGAATTTGTATCAATTTATAATTAAAACAATTTTATGTTTAGTGTTTAAAGAAGTCAAAGACAACAACAAACAAAACTGGCTTTAAAGATTTAAGTTCATGTTAAAGGCAATAGTTTATTTAATAAATTTGCTTTCAAAGCAGCAGAACCTATACAAGGAGTGAGATGGTTAGTGCCACAATAAAGAGTAGGTTTCCTACCAGCCTGAATTACCAGAAAGGTGACATTCTCAAGAGCCCAAGATCTTTGTGATGCCCCAGCATTCTTTCATAGCCACAACTGAGAGCCCTCTAATGACACCATATGATTCATGTCCATGTGCAGTCTTACTTACACACTAGCACTGCTATTTTTGCCTCACATCTGCACTAAACACACACATTTCTGAATATAAGGTTAAAGGAGTCCGTGGTCGGGTTTAAAGTTAGGAAATGTTTTTAAATAACCATAGTGAAAATTTCACATCCATCACAAACTTTCTGTATAGGAAATGCAAAGTTGTATTAGAATAACATGAGTCAATCAATCAGGCTCAATTTGCTAAGAAGTAAGAATTCATATGGAAAGACCATATACAAGTATTAAAAGCTGTCAGATATGCTCCAACTACACAAAGAACAGTCAAGAATTTTCCCAACTTAACACAACTTTTTTATTTCAACTCTTGCTACTCTGGGTGTTGACTGTGAATCCAAGTAAAATAAAACTGTTGACAATTTCAATCTTTTCTCCATCTATCTGATACTGCCTCTTGGTCCAGAGGTAAGGATTTTTTTGTTTTCCTGATGTTGAGATGTAATTCATATTGAAGGTTTTGATTTTCTGTAGTAAAGTGCACAATTCTTCTTGACTTTAGTAATTTGACCTTTTAATTCTGTATTTTTTTGTTTTCTTCTTCTAGATTTAGCTCTATCAGGTTCAGAACATAACAGGGTCCTAAGAAGCTAATTCTCTTCCACTGCAGACATAACAAACCTACTGTTCACATTATGTATTATTACTATGCTTTCTAGTTCATATATCTGGCTTCAGTTATTCTTAACATTCTCAGATAAAAACCTAGGCTTTATCCTGTAACCTGAATCAAAGCAGCCAAGTTAGTCCCATAAGTTTGCTGAAAATTATCTGTGACATTGTAAAAAAATATTAAAAAATAAGTTTTGAAAGGCATCATCAACTCTGACTATAGATATCACTGTGAACTGCCTTAGTTTTTTCAATCAATAAACCAAGTACCATTTTCATGTTAGCAAAATAAGGTACCTACTCACCTGAACAAAAGCAACTGTAACAACAATAAGAATTGCCTGGGGGGGAAAAAAAAAGTATAAACTTGAGAAGTACTCATAATTTATCTATCTGCCACATCAACCTAAGAACTGATGAGAAGACGACAGCTGCTCAGAGGCCTGTGGGGAAAGAAACTGCTGACTGATGGTGGCTGCTCCTCCAGGGGAGGGTGTCAGGCTTTCTCCTCTCAGAACTACTACTCTTACAAAGGAGCCATGGGGCAACAGTGATCAAGCACCCAGCTGATGGTTCAAATGCACAGGCAGCTCTGTCACAAGAGAAAGATGTCACAGTCGGCATCCCTAACTATTTATAGCCAACACAGTCTGATGGGCAGTTCTACTTTGCCCCATAGGTCACTACACATCAGAACTGGCTCCTCAGCAAGGAATATAATATGGCTTATGGTCTTACAAAATGAGAAACACAAAGAGTTCCGTTTACATGGGTTCTACCAACTGATGCTTACCGCTTACACATTAAATACTTCAACAATTCTGTTTCCATTTCTACTTGTCATCTAAAAAATAGTAAATATTAACACAAATAATGTTTCTTATAATTTTATTTTTAGAAACAAAAGTGAAAAAAGCAATGTTCTCACATTTTCTATATATCCTTAATGTCTGACATAACAGAAAAATGGATTTTCTTATCTACTGTCTGCATTCAATTTATGAGATATGCTATTTAAAAGGGTGCTTGTTGTTAGGTACAATACAGTGGCATACAACTCACAGAGTGACCCCGTGAACAGGAGACATGAACCCTGTCCTATTCTGTGCACCATTCTTATCATTCCTGACACGCCTGAGCCACAGTGGAATATTTTATTAGCCTTTTCAGAGGGCTATGACTATTGTTCCCCTCTACTATACTAAAATTCACTAAGTTTCTTAAAAGTATTCTGCATTTTTAGAATCTGAAATTATATCAATGAACCTTTTTTACACTAAAAACTATTGAATTACCCTGCATTTGAATGGATCTTTTATTACCATTGAAGACTGCAGCTCCATGTACACAGGTCAAAACACTGGCTCACTGTGTTGTCTAAATGTTAACATATTTTAAAAAGACATGTACTCAGAGCTTAAAACTTAATGAACAGGGTAAGTGTTACAAAAGGTCTTGGGGGAGACAGAGGGAGGAAAGTGTGCATGAATAAATGGATGAAACAATCTCTTTCTTTAGTAAACCCCCACTAAAATTTAAAAAATAAAGTGAAGGATGCTTTTTAAAAATGTGGGACATATTCTAAATAAAAATACTTTAAAGTTTCTGAATCAGGAAAGCAGACCTCACATATCCCCTCTTCTTGTAATGATTGTAGGGACACCAGGTGGTCCATAATCACTTCAAAAATTATAACTCACTCAAGATATAGTTACTGAAACTAGATGACTTTCTTTTTGCTATAAATTTCTATATGAGACAGGAGTAGAAATAAAGATGAACTAACTAATCAATGAAAGCTAGACTAAGCTAACTAAAAATATAATCATACCTAGTAAATAGCTAACTTAATTTCTGCAGTCGACAACTAATTAAAGCATTTAATTAGAAAGCATAAATTAGAAAATAAAAAGTGGAAAATTATTAAATCTTTTTCAAGTATCCCAATCTCAGATCTTTGAGCAATACTGAAGATTCCTGTAATTAAAAAAAGGAATTTTAACATTAGCAATGAAAAAAATTTTTAAGAAATAGTAAAGAATTTTTCAATCTAGTTTCTAAAATAAGAACCAACTCTAATTTACAAAATTAACTATCATCTTAAAAGAAAATATTCTTACCACAGTGATACTGACGGCATCATCGAACTGATGCATTACAACACTGATGACTGCAGAAGCCAGAAGTAGCATGATAAGGGGGTTTTTAAACTGAAAGTTAAAAAAAAAAAGCGATTCAGCAATGTCAAGTTATCTTACTGCCAAAGAACATGACAACAAAAATCCTGTACGAGCATGTGAAGAAAACTATTATGAAGCTTGATATGGTTTATATTTGATCTACTTTTCAATACAGAAAATCAAGATATTGCTTCACTTTACATTCAAGATGCCAAACCCAGCAGTACTTTGTTAGAAAAATAAAGTTAAATCTAAATATGTAAAACTAATCTCTTACAGCACACAAACAGTTCTAGACAATTAATTTCTTAACATAGCTGTTCTGACTTTCCACTGAGAAAAAGAAATGGTTTTCAGCTGAGGATTTAGGTTCAACATTGGGTTCGTTAGGGTTATTCCAAGTATGCAGATTACCTCAGACTACAACTTTTTAGCTACCCGTTTATGACAATAATAATATGCAGAGACAGCTAGGGATAGACATTAGATCTTCTCCACAGTAGAAATGGAAATTATTCCTCAAGGCTGGGTTCCCAGGTTTGGTGGTAGTTTTACATTGAGTGCTTGCATCTCTTGCTGCCCAAGTGTGTCCTGGGAACCTTGTGATCAACACTGTCTCAGCCTGTTAGGTGCTGCTCTCTGTGACCACGTATAAGTCTCTGAAAAAGGTGGTGGAAGAGAGCCAAGAGAAGAACCAGGTAGGAAGTGGACAAGAGTGACCAGTGCTGGATGTCAACGGTTTGTTCATTGTACCCACATCACTCCACTGGCGCTGAGTCACACCAAGCTAGCCACTGTACCACCAAACGCAGCAGAGCTAAAGAACTTGGAAGTGCCCAAATTCTGTAATAACCAGATTGAGGAGCTGCCCACACAGATCAGCAGTCTCCAAAAACTCAAACACCTAAACCTTGGCATGAATAGGCTGAATACCTTGCCCGAGGATTTGACTCGCTACCAGACCTTGAGGTCCTTGACTTGACTTACAACAACTTGAATGAAAATTCTCTTCCAGGAAACTTCTTCTACTTTACCACCCTGTGTGCACTCTATATAAGTGACAACGATTTTGAAATCCTAATCAATGCTCATAAAGTTGCAGATACTCAGCCTCTGGGATAACGACCTCATCTCACTGCCTAAGAAAACTGGGGAGCTTACTCAGCTTAAGGAGCTCCACATTCAGGGGAACCGCCTGACTGTTCTGCCCTCAGAACTAGGAAACTTGGATTTAACTGGTCAGAAGCAAATATTCAAAGCAGAGAACAACCCCGGGTTACTCCAAGTGCTGACCAATTCCAGCTTGGCGTGTCTCATGTTTTTGAATACATCTGTTCTGAGACGTACAAGTACCTCTATGGTCGACACATGCAGGCAAACCCAGAACCACCAAAGAGTAATGATGACAAATCGAAGAAGATCAGCCAGAAACCCTTGGCAGCCAAGAACAAACAGGGCTTCGTACAGACTGGGCTCTGGGCCCTTCTCTTCGGCGCCTGGCTTCCCTTGCTCTGTGTCACTGTGTGTGTGCACGCATGTGCTTTACCCTTTCCACGCTCCTCTGTCTAGTGCTCACCACTGAACCTTTTAAACTCATTTGGTAGGTGGTAGATTTTTATAAGTTCTTAAAGCCATTTCCATTTGTTTCCTTAAAATTGTCAGAGGCAGGAAACGAAGCTCTAATTCAACTGCAAATTCCATAGTAGGCATAGGCTTCAGGGCCTTGGACATCACAAAGTGGCTTATTATCCAAAAAATAATTAAAATCATGTAACCATTTAAATATCACAGTTAACACTTTTTCTTCTTCTGTTTATTCACTTGTCATGTTCTGTTAAAAAGTCACCATTCTCCACAGAAATACTGTTCATTTAACTTACAAATGATTTTAATAAAATTTTGAACTTTTTTATTTTTAAAAAAAGGCTGGTTTCCCAAGGTCTATCTATCTGGAAAAGAACTCCGCGGTGAAGCACTCAATTGCTAACCAGAAAGTCAGTGGTGCGAACCTCCAGGCACTCTGTGGAAGAAGCTGTGGTAGTAGGCTTCTGTAAAGTCATGCCACCTTGAGGACCTACGGGTAGTTCTACTCTGTCCAATAGCATGGACTCAAGAGCAAAGGGCTATCTGGTTGAGGCAAACATATCCAAAAAGCTAGGACAACAGCATCAACCCAATCAGGCAGCACTCAAATGCAGAGCAGCGGAGCCTGCTCTCTAGATGTGTCAGAGGGGATGACAGAATCTTATCCCCTGCCACAGTGGTGCCAACTGCCGTCTAAACTGCCAAATAACAGAGCTACAAAAAAGATGTCCCAGCCCAGCAGAGAGTCCCACCCTCTACATGTCACAACTGGGTTAGATGCCATCTCCTCCTGTGCACCCCAAGAATCAACATTGCAATATCTGGCACAACAGCTCCCATCCTGCCTCATATCAGAATTATAGCAACAACTTCTAGCAAATACCAAAGCGTCAAGTCTCTAACAGACCAATTACTAGAACCTTGAGTTTTTTGCAATTTTTAACCAATTCAAGTGATTCTAACGCAGAGGATTAAAAATCCCTATTTGAACAAAACACAACTATAATAGCAGTATGGACTGCAGCTAAATGATCAGTAATCTGAGTCTAACCACCTTAGGGTTTTAGTCCATTCCCCATCATTTCTAAAAATCTTTTTAATCCCCCAATGCCCACTGGCTTATCTGGTAAAACAATATCTTATCCCAAGGACCATAGTAAGGACTAACTAAGAAGGCATAATAAATCAAACCCTTATATAAATTATAAAACCGTCTTCAAATGTTAACTGTTACCATCACATGTTGAGGCAAAGGTTCTCAGTCTTTTTTTTTTTTGTTTTCCACAAAAATTGTTTCATGGTACTAAGCACCTCAAGCGACAGATGGCAGGCACTGAGCAGATGTTCACACAACAAATCCTACATTCTCTCAGAGGGAATAAAAATCCACCTTGTGTTTTATGATTAACAATAATCACTGTTTATTGTTTCCTGTGTTAAGTATGCTACGAGTGTTGTTTCATTCAATTCTCACAGAAATCCCATGAGGCAATGGACTCTAACTTTACTTCAAAGTAACTACATGAAGAATTCCTGAAGTGTCAGAGAATGTGGAGACAGGGAAAACCTTAGGAATACAAGAATACAAAAATATTTCACCAACAACAGGCAGTTAAATACATGGTCTCTAAAAAATCCAGTTCTCTTACGTTCAGGCAAACTCCTATGCAAACTAAAGACAACTAATAAACATTACACCACTAATAATAAATACAGACAGAATCTGAATGCAAGCCACGTGGTTTTCAATATCTGACTTAATTTTGTAGGCAGCCATAATGACCTTAGAAAAACTGGTATTTTTATAATAAACAAAGATGAGTTAAACATCTGCAAAGAAAACCAATGTCAACAGTATCACTTCATGGTATGCTGTCCTTTAACAATAAAAACTACAGAAACTCAAGCAAAATCTAGTTTAAAAAAATTCTGTATTTCCTTTCTCCATAAAAAAAAAATCTTATCATAAGAGTAAACAGTTACAGTAACAAAAACACAAACTGTAAAGAGAAGAGACAGAAACCCCCTCACCTGAGAAATATACTTCTTCCACAGCGGCTCTTCTTCACTGATATCAAACTCATTCCAGCCGTGGAAGGCGCGCCTATGGCTGACCTCACACTTGTTTAGGCCATTCTGAAGATCAGCCTAGAGATTTCACAAAAATACAACAGAGAGCACACAGTACGTTACGGGAGGACAGAAAGCAGTCAGTGGCTGCTGGGCGTCACTACCAATGACACTTTAGGAAGGCCGTCAGGGTTCGCCATCAGATAGTGGTTACTCTGGTATACACATCTGTCAAAGCTCAAACTACACACTTGCATTTTATTTACATAATTTATGTCTCATAATTTTGTTTCTTAAATATAAAAAATAAGGTAGGGTTTAGGAAACAAACTAGCTTTTCTTTGAGTAAACAGGAATGACACAAACCAGTTACAAACGTGCAGAAGTGAGGTACAGGAACACGGTAATTAGCTCCTTTTGTCGTCTGTTTAATACTGTTTCCCAGGATCAGTTCCCCTCAAAAAACAATGGGTCATGCACACCCGCCTGCCTTGCTCCCTGAACCAATCAAAGCATTGAAACTGGCACTACCTCTGCTCTTAGAATCTATCATTTTCAGGCAAAAAACGGTGTTCTTTCTAAATTACTCAAAAAATGAAGATCAGCTGGTTCTTGGGATATTTACAGCCTTGACAAGCACAGACACCCTTCAGACACTCTCACGACTTACTGTGTATTACCCTTTAAGAAGGAAAATCTCTTTGTCCCAAAATGATTGCTCTCCCTGGCCAACGCTTTTTAATGCACCTGTTAAAATATGTGACTGACTGGCAGAAAACTAAACAATATTCTTATCTTCCTGCTTTATTAAAATGTGTTTTGAAACTAGAAAAAGATCATAATATGTAATAAACTGAAGTTTATTTGTAGTTCTGTACCTGGACTGATTATTTTTCATTTTCTCATAGAAAATATTTCTTTAAAAAACAAAACCATACTGAAAAACTCTCTATTTTTGCTACTAATTAAATGGCTATTTTTTTTTCCTTCCTAATCCATTTAGTCTCTAAATAGTAGACGGTGGCAATGTTAATGATCTAGAGATGCAATGTCCAACTAGGAAGTGACTAGCTACCTGTGATCACTTACCCTTTAAGTGAATTCAAATCAAATCAAATCAAATCAGTTCCTCCATTGCACTGGTCTCATTTCAAGAACTCAATAGCTTTGCTTACTACTGAACTAGTGGTTACTGGCCTGACAACACTGAACATACGATTTCTATGTTCTATCGACAGTACTCATCTACAGCAGCAGAGGTTCATTAGCCATCAGTTAATTTCTCTAGTGATTATAGGACTGAACAACCCTGAACACAAGTGTTTCTGTCACTGTGGATGGTTCTGTTGAACAGCACTGATCTATAGAATCTTCATGATTCATTTTATCGTTGGTTAATTTTTCAGTGGTTACTGTACTGGACAACCCTGAACACAATGTTTCTCTTGCTGTAGACGGTCCTACTGGACAGCATTGACCTTGAGAACCTGAGTGACTAACTTCACCATCAGGTACCGTATTTCCTACCAGGCACTTACTTGGAGAATGCTTGTAACTTCACTGACTGGTAATTCACTTGCTTTTTTGGATGTCAACACAGGAATCATTGTTTCATTTTCACCATTAGGTATTTTTTGAAAACGTGCAACCTAGGAAATAAAACCAAATTTTAAAATATTTTAATGTACCAAACAACTCTAATGCAGTCTAGAATAACAAACAAAAATTCAAATGTTCACAGCAATTTATTTCCCACAGTTTAAAAAACCTCAAGTATTTTAAGACTAATAATGAGTTATCTAGTCCTAACAAGATAATTTTACTAGTCATGGGCTGTTTTTCCAGAAAGTCTATTTTGAAAATGGACTCTGCTCCAACACCAGTGCCAGCCAGGACACAAAATCATTTTCCCATTAAACAATTAAGTAAGATGCTCTTTCTCTATAAACGTGAGAGTCACAGAACCCAACAGAGCCTGATTTCACATGCTTTTTACAACTCTTCCTCCTTGGTCAGCTCATTCCTTATTCATCCCAAGAGGACACCAAGCTACCCATCAGACCACCATGACAGCAGTTAGACAGTAAGCAGCATTCACAACTAGGGGAAAGAAAACAAGAGATGAGACAAGCAGAGGATGAACAGGTCAGACAAAGGGCTGTGAACAGAAGTGCTGTAACACCTGCTTTAATGTATCTTCAAATGCAAACGTGTTCAACACTTTTTAAAAGTCTAGAAATAAAGCCTTAGTGCAGATTAGTAGTCTTCAGTCCTAACCTGAAAGTTTTGGAAGCGAGTAGAAGAGAAGGAGGAAAAACTACCCACATCTTAGGAGCCCACATGGCACAAGAATGTGTAACTGGTGGATAACCGTTCAAGGTCGGCTGTTTAAGGTCAAAGCTAGCCAGCAGGTCCGGGGAGAAAAGCACCTGGCCATGGATGTGGTCCACAAAGGTCACACACAAGAAGACTACGTCATGTGGCCCTGCCCTGAGCAAGAGGCCAACTCATGAGCAGCTGGGAACAATAAGACACCTGAGAAAAGAAGACACCTGAACAGGCATACGGACTCCTGCCGACCCTCCTCCTGCCAAGGTGCAAAGCTTCAACCTTAGAGAAACAGCATCTTAAGATAAAAGTTTCCTGAATTCTGTTAAGAAAATGAATGAGATCAAAGCAGAATTCGTATTGAGAGTCATTACAGAAGTGACTACACGTATAAAAAGTTTCTTCAAATACCCTCTAAAAATGGTAAATAAGAAGCTCAAATGTGACTGTTCTCTGGAATGTGATTTCTAACTTCACTGGTTAAAAACATAAAACAAACCCACGACCATCGAGTTGATTCTAACTCACAGCAACCATGTCCGGCCGAGCAGGAGCAGCCCAGGTGTCCTAGCTGTGCACCTTCACGCACACCGACTGCTTCCTCTTCTACAAAGCAGCTGCTGCATTCCAACCGGCAATCCTATGCTGAGCAGCCGGCTTCACTCAGCCCTGTGCTACAGGGCGTGCTGTCCATGTAAGTACTAAAAGACAGTGGCCTTTGTCAACTCCAAGAGATACTGGCAACCAGTCTTAGGAGACTAGGGACAATATGAAGACTTTTAAATAATTAAGAAACCTAAAAAGTCGTTTTTAAAAAGAAGAAATATCATGAAAGTCAACAAATTATTTGAACAGTTACATTTCCTTATTTCTTATCCCTGAAATGACCAAACAACTGCTGTCAAATCAACTCCAACCAATGATGACTGCATATGAGTCAAAAGCAGAAACCAAAAGTCAAGCACACTCAAAAACTCAAGCTCAGTACTGTCGAGTCAGTGCCAGCTGCAAGTGACGGTGCATTGTGTTTCCGAGGCCGCAGATCATAAAGTGAGGAGACTGCCCACTGTTCTCTTGAGGAGCTGCTTCAGAGAGCTACCTTTAAGTACTGGGCAGACAGCCAGGGCCTATCTTGGGACAGGTGGAGCAATGGCGCAGTGATGTGAACAAGCCAGCCACCACAAAGCACAAAAGACCCAGCAGTCTGCTCTCACGTGGGTTCCAGCCTAGGAAACTGGATGGGCCAGGTCTATTGTGGCCCCTGGGATCATGCCTGCCTTCTTACCTGCAGAGCAGGTAAGAGATGATAACAGCATTTGGTACATATGAGCAGGGGGTACTATGCAGACACAGAACTGCAGCATAGCGCAAACATCCCCCCTCACCTCCACTGTGTAACCCTGAATCTCTGAACATTAGTCTCTGTGTTCATCTTTTCTTGTCTTCTTATAAAAGAAAGGTCGTATCTCATTTATGATTAAATTTTGCTTGATTTCTTTCACATAGCTATTCTTGGTGATGGGGAAAGTAACATCAAATGTAGGTGAACACTGCTTAGTCCAAGTACAAATGAGTGCCTGAGCACAAACAAGGGGTACAGGCAACTTGGGACAGAGGCAGATGGTACAAGTGTGCACACAGGTGAGGACAAACAGCACTAACCACAAACACAAGCTCAGCTGTGACTCACAGCGACCCTTCATAGGGCTTCCTGAGCCTGGAAATCCAGGAGGCTGCCTATCTTTCACCCTCTGAGCTGCTGGTGGATTTAAGCATCAGAAGCTATCAATGAACTGGAAGTAGCTATGATGTTGTTGTGTACCATGGAGTCAAGAACCAACTCAAAACTGAGCCCCCCTCCTGTGGGTTTTCAGAGGCTGTAAAACACACAGGAAGAGACTGCCTATCATTCTTCCTCAGAGGAGCTGTGCGCCTTTGAGACGATAGTGCAACCCCTTAGCACTAGGCCACCAGAAGTCTAGAAGAACAAACATATTAGTGTAGGCACATGCATCCAATGAAAACACAAATGCAAATACTATTGAGACGTAACCAAACAACTTTCAGCATTGGTCTTCTGAATTTGAAAATTTGGAACTTCAGTCTCATTGAGACAATTCCTTCAAACGGCATAATTATCACATAAGAAAAGCTATGCTCTGCATCTTGACAAAGTCAGCAGCATCTGGACTCTTAAATGTTTCTAACTATGTGTTTTAAGACATGACTATGGGGCTCTCTACAAGCCAGGAGCAAAAAACAAGAATGGAATGAAAAGTGCACTGAATAAGCTGATAGGAGTCCCAATTCCATATTCTCTGAACTTAATGATGCTCAGCTACTACCACCACTGATTTGAACTGGAGTTACAATGGTTGGTCCCAACTTGCGGTGGTGGTTTTGTTAGATGCCCAGAGTCAAGTACAACTCACAGTAACCATATGATCAACAGAAACCTCGCCCTATCCTGCATCTTCCTCACACTCTCCACCATGCCCAAGTCCGCCACTGCAGTCACTGCCCCAATTAATCTTGTTGAGGTTATCTCAGTGTCACTGGTCCTCTGCTTTTCCAAGCATGGTCTTCTTCCTAGGACTGGCCTCTTCTAAGAACATGCCTATAGTATGTGAGAACAAGTTTCATCATCCTTACCACTAAGGAATATACTGGTTGCTCTTCCTGCAACACAGATGTGCTGATTATTTGGCACTCTGTGATATATTGGATATTCTTCACCAATACAATTCAAATTCTTCAGTCTCCTATATAGTCACTGTCCAACTTTCAGATGCCTATAAATCATCTGGAAATACCATCGCTTGGATCAGGTGCACCTAAGTCTTTGAACTGACACCTTGCTCTTTAGCACTCGGGAGAGGTTCTTGACAACAGCTTTGCCTCTGACAGTACGTCCTCTTCCTTTCCATCCCCTGACTCACAAGACCCCACAGGGCAGAGCACAACTGTCCTTGTAAAGCCTGGTCCCCCTTGCTTTCACAAGGCTTTATTCTATTACTTGGGTGGAGGAAGAACCCACTCAGTCCTTGGAAGCCACCTTCCTTACAGTGGCAAGACGTTGCTCAGCTCCCCTGCAGTCTGTCTCTTCCCTACCTTTTTTTTTATGAACCTCAGGGCTGGCTTTCCCTTGGAGACCTTGGGCAGGTCCACAGTGTTGCTCATGGGTGCAAATCTGCATAGCTCCCATTCATACCCACACGACTTGGTGTGTCTGGTGGGCTTCTATGATGGCAGCTGAGCTTGAGCCCCTTCACATTCTCCGTCACTGTGGCCCCGAGGACCATGGCCACCGAGGATCACAGCCAAGGGGTGGTGCAAGCACAGCTGCTGTACTGCAATGCCTGCTGTGGCGGGTTTGGCTGGTTCTTTAAACTGTGGTTTATTTGAGTGAAAATGTTCAGAGCAGACTGCTTTTCCACTCTACCATCCAAACACATTTTGTTTTACGATGTTACAATGTTAAGTGTACCACTGTTACAGACACTGTGCACACACTCTTCCAGCCCCTTCCTATGATTAGAGTGTTCATTAATCCTATCCTATCGCATCTGCCTTCTGAGCTTCGTGCCTGCTGCCTCGTGATCCTGCACGGTTGGCTGGTGTACAGAAGGACCACCTTGCTGGTGTTAGTTACTGCGCACCTTACATACCTATGGCTTAGCTAAAAGTTGAGCCACAAAGGTAGTGTTGTGCCAGGTTCTAAAGGTAAGTAAGTAAGGGCTACAGGCTTCAGGGGTCCACTGGCCTCCATCACATCAATAAGCCCGACCATTTTGTGTTTTTAAGTTTTATTTCACATTTCTTTCTCGCTCTGTTCAGCATAATTTTGACTGCTGCTTTTATTAATGCTGATGGTTCTCTAATAGGCAGTTCTAGTGAACACATTTTCATTTTCTTCAGCTTAAGCTTCTACTTCAATACAAGAAATTGGTGGTACAGTCTCTGCAGTTAGCCTCTGGCCTTGTTCTTTGTTTTGATTAATGACTCAGATTTTACATTGTTTATTTCCAGATATAGCTGTTTCTAGATATAGTCTATCTAATTACTAATTATTCTATCTGGTGAAGTTGGTATGTATAGTAATCTTTTGTGTTGCTAAAAAAGGTATTTTCTATGAGTAAACTGCTAGTTTTGCAAAACTGTCTCATGCGATCTCTGTGCTTTTATAACCAAAGCCATATTTTACAACTATTGATCCTTCTTCATTCCCAATTTTCACATTCAAAACACTAGTACCTCGACTATTTCTGACCCATTTCAGACTGGAGAAATTAGTAAAAATCTTCAACTCACTGTCAGCATT